ACTTGAAGGCCAGACGGCTCCCAGGAGAAACGATGCGGCAACCGTGTAGAATAACAGATGCAAATAGTATAACTCGCGATACTTGCATTACTAAATATATTTAGCAAGCATGGATCGCAACAGTCTTCTCGAAGGAATAAGTGGAGGATGCCAGGTGTAGTATTTGAGTCTCAGGTACTCGAGCCACATGAAACCAGCTGGAGACAGGGATTCCGCTCTTGATACCACCAACTTCGCAAGTCTACCGAGAGAATCCTAGAGTCGACTGAAAAAAAACCATGCGACGATGCAGAGAACAGCCATTGCCAAGTCTGCGCATAGTGAAAGGAGGCGATGTCATTCAGCAAGCTCCAGAAAGGCAGCTACCAAAAGCGGGGGGCACGTGTCCCACAACCATCCTCACTTCACCTAGAAATCCAAGCCAAACTCACCCTCGATACCTTTCAACTCTCCCCTTACCTTTGCTCTTTTGAAAAAAGCAACCGAGTTCTTACAGTTGGTAACGAGCATAGAGGAGCAAAAAAACGTACCAGCCAGCCAAATCCCAGACACGGCTCGAGCACAAACGCCCCCCCTCCCGGTACAGTAACAGACGAGCGCACGGCCAACGCATCCGCCCGACCCTTCCCTTCGTCACGTCACGTCACTATCCCTTTCGTATACAACGCACTGGCCTTTTGCTTCCCAAAGCGTAGAAGCGCCCCCAACCGTTGCATTTTCGCAAGTCCGCCCACGCCCCCAGCAAGTTTTGCGCACTATATATATTTTTTATTTTCCAATCGTGATTGTGCAGTGCGAGGATTTGTACGAACTCATTTCTTGCCTTTTACCAGAAGTGACCGCGAGTCCCGCACAACACTGCACTTACTCAATCTTTGGAATAACTTTTCACCCAGCGTGGGTTCGAAATTCTGTTTTTGCCATTTTCTTTTTGCTCCTGTTTTTTGGTCACTTTTGCTCGACGGTCGTTTTGTCAACAACCATGTGTAAAGACCACATACGGAATACGATATTGACACCCTCTGCTTGATTTTTGTGATTTAGTAGTTGGTAGTTTTTTTGTGCAACAATGTAGGCCATGCTTTGAGCAATAGGTACAGCATCGCGCACTCTTCTCTGCCAAAAAGTGCCTGCCTCAATCTTGCCTATCCTAACACTTCATCTTAATCCCCCTCCGCTTTTCATTTTCGCGCCACTCAAACATGAACTGCACACCTGTAAATAACGCACAGCAAGCTGTCGCAAAGAACATCCAACCAGACCACGTTCCCACAACACCACTAACCAAACCCTTTAGCCCATCCATTCCAAGTGCAAAGCCAACGAGATTAGCTGTCATTAGCATCAGAATCTCGCCAACAGCACCCACGCCACACAACCAACGGTAAGCATCGGGTCTGTCTTTCCACTTCTTCGCGGGGAAGATGTACGATGCGATGATCTCTGGGAGAACAAAGAGGGTAACAAGCCATCCCCACATGAGCAGTCGGAGTTGAATGTCATGCCAGATGGCGATAAAGGTAAACACAGCGAGGTAGTTTCCGACGGCCCTTGCCTTGCCGAAGATACCCTCGCCCTTACTTCCACCAAGAGGAATATATAGATACCTCAAGCTCCACTTGTTGAAGCTGCGGTGCCACCCGCGCCAAAAGTGCATAACAGAGTAGTTGTCAGACATGCAACGCACCATGTTTTCTGGGGGGTCAATGCCATCCGTGAGCGACCAGAGGCGGAAGAAGCGCCATGGGATGAGTAACTTTAGCCAAATATGTTTGAGGTTGAAGAAGCCTAGCATGCTGAGCTCACAAGGTGTGTATTGAGACCAGTCGGGCTTCTCGTGGAAGATGGCGACCATGTACATGTAATGAATCATAATCTCCATGGTAAGGAGGACGACGATGAAACGAACCAAGTAGAGGCTTGTCCGCTTAGTGGTGATGCTGTGAGGCCGGTAGCGACATTGCGCTATGTAATCGTTGAATGTTATGATGGGCCCGGCCAGGTAGAGTGGAGAGTAGGTGGCATAGGCGAAATAATTGCGGAATGAGTAGTCCGCAGGTTTAGCAGGGATGGATACCCGATCACGCTCAGAGAGATTGGATGGGTCGAGTTGTTTCTTCTTGGATGTTATTAGCTATATCGAACCGAGGGAAGATGGGAATAATACTTCTAGAGGACTGTTTTCTCGGGAGTTGAGTGACCAGTAATAGTCGAGGTTAAAGCTGATGAGCCGGAGGATGGTGAAGTTAAAGAGCACTTCCCAGCGTGGAATGAGGCCACCATAGCTGTCGAGCATATGACCGAAATCAGATCTTGATTCGCCATTTTCGGAGGTGTCAGATGGGAGAAATGTGCCAAGGATAGTTGAATATGAGTAGCCCCGACCAAATTCATTGGCAAATAAGGTGCCTACGTTGAAGATCCACGTTGCAGCTGGTATGTATTGTCGAGGGAGCTTCTTTCCGATACAGTAATTGGCATAGAGGATTGCCAGGATTTTGAATGCCGAGAAGCCATGTAGAGCAACAAGAAATATGGAAGCAAAGCCTACATCAAACGATATGCGTTGAAGCATGCGGGCATCCGCCGCAGCGGACGGTGTTAAGCCCATTGTGAGGCCATTGCTTGCCGACGACCGCACTTGGGTGTATGTGCCAGCTCGCCAGAAAGAGTCATATGCTTTGCGTAAATTTGGATGTAGTAGAACTACGATAAAAAGATATGGAATGTTCTGACGGAAGCCACCATATTGAGCATCAACATTATCCTGACACGTCAGTGAAGTGTACATGACATGGGAGAATGCCACAAACCACTTTCCGCCCAGGTATCCAGCCATCGGAAAGGAGATGTTCGAATTTTGGATAATTTGGGTGCGATTCTACATGCTGGTCAGCACATGGCCCCTATTTGTGGCATCACCCAGCATACCTTTAGACACGTCCAATACAGATTTGAACATCATGAACACGCTGGCTGAAATGGCCACGTAGTAGAAATAAAACTCGGGAGTGTTCCATCGTGGCGGCTGAATATCACTATCTGCACGTTTGGTGCCTTCTCTTCCTTCTTTTACGGGAATTGGGCCCACTGGGTCAAGTTTGGCCTCCTCGAGCGCCTCCTTGGGCGGTGTGGTGGCTGGTATTACGAAGCGAGTGTCGAGAGTATCGAGCGCATACAGCTGGCGGATGAATTTAAGCGCCATGGTGATCTCTATCCTATCTCTTCATGTCTCTGATTCTGAGGGACCCTGCGAACAAATATCTGGGGGGATGCGGGGCGGAGGCGCGAGGGGTAAGTGCGGTGGTGGAGGACAGGTCCGCAACCTCAACTTTTGGAGTTCGCGTCTTGCGACAGCTTCTCTTTAACACCAGCACCAGCTCCACCACCACGCCCACCTCGACTGACTCGGAAACCCGACAATTACGCGTCAATCAACCATATCATACCTGACACATTTCCATCCACCAGTCTCCGCGCCGGCGATAATCGCGCGCGATGAACATTCCCAACTCGTCGACCGCACCCGCTGCGGGAGAGTACGCTGGAGGTAACTACGATTGTCCAAAGCTTTACAGCGCGCGTTCACTAATAACAAACTGCAGATGAGGTCTCAGCGATCGTTCTCGACCCCGGCTACTCAACTGTACGCGCAGGATTCGCCGGCGAAGATGTTCCCAAATCCGTATGCCCTTCCTTCTATGGCCTCACATCATCAGGCGGCCGTTTGTTCGGCGAGAACGCGATACACGCTCCAGTTGACGGGCTTGAGATTAAAAATTACTGGGGCTCAGATGGCATAGTAGAGGACTGGGAGACTGCGACCAAGCTATGGGAGTATGCGATTACAAGCCGGCTCACGGGCGCAAAACCGACGGACCCCAAGAAGAACGGGCTGAACGACGGCAACGACGAGAATGGAAGTGGAGAGGCCATGGATGTGGACATGGAGGCACTAGAGAACAACGAGAAGCCCTTGGAAGACAGTCCGCTACTCGTCACAGAACCAGGCTGGAACAGCGCAAAAGCACGGGAAAAGTACATTGAGATTGCAATGGAGGAATGGGGAACTCCGGCCTTCTTCCTGCAGAAGACAGGCGTATTGGCTGCCTTTGCATCGGGCAAGGCTTCTGGAATCATCATCGACATTGGCGCCTCCCACACGTCTGTTACACCCGTTCTCGACGGCATGGTATTACGAAAGGGAGTCCAAAAGTCGCCTTTGGCCGGAAACTTTGTCTCTGACCAGATCCGACTGTCTTTCAAGCAGGCGCAACCAGAAGTCCCCCTGATACCCCATTTCATGGTGAAGAGCAAGACACCCGTCGACGCTGGCGTACCCGCTCAAGCCACGTACAAGACCTTCTCCACACCGCCCACTGACTCGTTCCGGTTGAACGAAGAAGAACGCATCCTGACGTCGTTCAAGGAGTCAGTGGTAGAAGTATGGCCCGGCCCCGGCCGCTTCAGCACCAACGAGGAGCTAGCAAAGAGTATGCCCGGCCGACCCTTTGAGATGCCCGACGGCTGGAACCAAGTATTCGGCGTGGAGCGATTCCGCGCCGCCGAAGGCCTCTTCGACGCTTCAGCAGCCCTCACCTCCGACTCGAGTCCCGCACCCAAGCCCGAGCAAACGATCCCGCGCCTTGTCCAGGCTGCCGTCCAGCAAGTCGACGCGGATCAGCGTCCCCTGCTGCTCTCCAACATTGTCGTCACGGGCGGAAGCACCCTGCTGTACAAGTTCAACGAGCGCCTCAACTACGAAGTCAACTCCATTTACCCGTCTACCCGCAACAAGCTGATTGCCCCCGGTAGCGTTGTGGAGCGCAAGTACGCTGCTTGGATCGGTGGCAGTATATTGGCTAGTCTGGGCAGTTTCCACCAGCTGTGGATCTCCAAGAAGGAGTATGAGGAGCATGGTGCGAATATCGTTGAGAAGAGGTGTCGATAGGGGGATGTGTATGCATGAAAGGGGTTTATCTTCAGGCTCACGGATCATGTAGAAAGATGAATATATTGGTTGCTGTGTCCTCAGTCAGGGATGGTCATTTTTACTGTAATGTTTCTTGCGATGGTTTTTCTGTCTAGTGGAGTTGAATTAGTGATAAAATGTCTGAAGTTCAAATCTTTAACGTTCCCGTTTAATTGGCGTAAACAAATGTGCAACAGCTGGTTGACATGAGGACAAAAGCGGTTCATCATCATCATATTGTCTTCCAGCTATCCGATTCAAGAAGTCCATTCGACGGCTGATATCGGTATATAGTACATGTTCTTCATGTTCATAACGCCATGTCGTGCATCGCCCAAAACTCTCCGTCTACGAGTCTACATCCATTGTCTCGGCTGTGGCGGCCACGTCGTCGTCCTTGAGTTCGTGCACAGTAACGTACTTGCTAATCTCCTCCTTCTTGATAATCTTCTCATTGAGCACCGCCGTGGTGCCACGTTGGAACCTGTAGTTCCTCTGCTTGGGCTGCCTGGTGTTTGGTGTCTTGTAGTTCCTCATGAGGGTCGTCTTCTCCTCTGTGATGACGGCCACGTCCACGTTGCTACCCGAACCCAGATCGTTCCAGATACCGGCTTCGATGGCATTGGAGCACAGAGTGACGGCCTCGTCGCGCGTCAGGTGCGCCTTCCACTGTGTCTCGAAAACCGACATGGCGGCCAGCGAACCGGAGCCCATGGTGACGTATGGCAGCTTGTCGGTGGAGCCGTGGGCGTGGACGGTGAAGAGGTGGGCGCCAGTGGGGTCGACACCAGCAACGACGAGGTAGGCACCAATGTGGCCCTGGTGACGGAACAGGTGCTGCTTCAGCATCGTCATGCAGGTGACGACGCGGGGCTTACGGCCTGTGGAGAGGGCGTGCAGTTCGAGGTTGGATGAGATGATGGCTGTGGTGAACTCGGTGTCTGCAGCGGTACCGGCACCAGCGCACCAGATCTGGGGGGCGATGAAGTGCAGCTTCTCGCAGTTCTGCGGACACAGTTGTTAGGGGGTGCATCGTGAGGGCGGTGTCCATTGCGGGGGAGGAGCGTACCTTGTCTGCGACAATGGGCCCGCTGGTTGCGCGAGTGTCTGCTGCAATTACCACGCCGCCATCGAACAGACAGCCAACAATGGTGGTTCCCGTGCTGGTGGCCTTGGGCAGGGGGATGCCCTGTGCATGGAGGGCCACATTGCGGTTGTGGTTGGAGAAGTCGAAGCCGCCCATGGTGTCTATGTGTGGATGATGTGTGGTAAGCCTGGGGAGGACTGGCGGGCCGGTCTTGCAGAAGCCGGGGGATGCTCTGGCGGATGGACAGTATTCAACTTGGTCTGCAGAACTACCAGCGGGGCTCTCTGTGGATTTTCAGTCGATCGTGAGGCTGTTCGCAACACTGGTCGTCGCTCAAGGCAGGTCGGCGGCGGCGGCGATGGGGGACTTGCGTAGCTGGTCGTGCCTGGTGGGTGGAGCTTGGACCGCCGTGCTTGGCGCGGTGATCCGCCAGCTGCTAACCCCGACTTTTCTTAGACAGCAAAGCGCGTCTGGCAAAAGTGACGAGCTACTGGTTGCATGATTGCCGATGCATGCTGATGCCGCTGCACCAGGCTCTTTTTTGCGACATCACCGCCTTTCCCGTACCCGCCTTCTTGCTCTTCATCCTCACTCGGTCCCAGTCTTAGCCCTGCACTGGACCTTTCTTTGTTTCCCACCCCCCCAGAACTCACGGTGACCGTGCACGCGCTTTCGCGCTAGACATCCAATGCATTTATGAATAAGCTGCGAACTCCAACGCGCGACACCACGCCGTCTCTACTACGCGCCAGAACCTGTTCGGCCTGCAAATCCTGCAGAATGTCGAAGAGCCATGCGCCGGCGGTAGAGGTTGGGGCTGAGGTGCCCGAGATCGAGACGGAGGTAGCTTCACCTGCCAGCACGCAAACCACCTCCCAAACTGACAGCGCATCCAGCATCTAGGCTTCAAAGTCCTTAGCAACGGAAAGCAAGGCCCCAAGAAGGTCAAACTTCTTCCCCAACCATGGCCTGCCGACAATCTGCCCTCGGCCTCGGCCAGCCTCCTCTCCGTCGCCTCCAAGCCTGGTCTCCTCGCAGCCGCTGGTCCCAATATCCTTGTCGTCGCATCTACCGACGCCGTGCGCAAAGCCTTCGAGGGCAAGACGACAGCCGACGACATTGACAAGCCCGATGATCCACGACTCGAAGAACGCGACATCGACGTCGTGTCAGACTTCACGCCTGATGTCACCATCTCCACCGAGAACCTGCGTCACGTTGCCTTCTCTGCCGATGGAGACTTCCTCGTCGTCACTCCCGAACAGCAAGCCTCCATTTCCATATTCAGCGTCGCCGAGGTCGTCAAAGGTAGGAAAGATGCCGAACAGACTGTGCAAACAGACGCGCCCGTCCGCGCCCTACTCCCAAACCCGGCCCCTGAATTCGAACATTTCTTCGCTATTGTCCTGGATTCTGGCAAGCTCCAGATATGCAATGTGACGGATGGTGCCAAAAAGACGATTCGCGATGCCCACGTCAACTGCGCTGCTTGGAGTACGCGCGGAAAGGCTGTAGTCTCTGGTTCAACCGACGGTACCTGCGCCATTAACATGACCAATGGAGAGCTCAAGGGCGTCATTCCTCGCGCACCGGATGTCGATGAGAACTACGAAGTGACGGGAGTGACATGGCTGAACACGGAAGAGTTTCTTGCGGTCTATTCAGTCAAGGACCAAGATCCAGAGAATCCAGAACCCAAGAAATTTAGTGTCATCAAGTCCGCGAAAGGTTGGGGATCCTTCACATACCATGCTTTCGCCTGGGATCCTCTTCCCGAGGCGTTTGAACCTCCGCGACGACCCCTTCCTGCCCGTTTCTCATCCACGCGACTACGAAACTGGAAGCCCGATCTCGAAGACATGCTGATCATAACCTCCTCGCACGCCGACTCAATCGCTATACTTGCTTCTACGAGCAACAAGATCTCTCCCGATCAACAAAACCTTAAGGAGCTTATGTTGGTCAACGTTGATGACACTAAGAAGGCCTCTGTGCCGCGTACAGCATATGGAGAAGATGAATTGGACAGCGTCTTTATTGGTGAAGCACTGGATCTTTCAAGCAAGGAGAAGATTTTGCGTCCAATCCCTAGTCTGGAGGAAATCAACGAAGCTCCTTGGCCACTGCCGGCTTACATGGCTCTGACCCATGAAGGTCTTCTCACAGCTTGGTGGGTGGTGTGGAACCGCTCGATTGAAGCTGGCGAGCGCTATCCGGGTCTCATCTTCAAGAGCGAGTCTACACAACGAGAGCCAACTACCACACCCCGCGCTCATACCCCTGCATCCAAACTTCCTGTCGCTACCTCAACACCATTTGGACAGCCTTCCACACCTTCACACACACCTTTTGGCAAGTCTGCAAACACTCCTGGAACTCCTGGAATTCCCCACTTTGGCAATGCTGGACACAACTCCCCATCCCCTGCTCTGATGAGGCCTACGCCGCCAGGCTTCGGCACACCTGGCTTTGGAGCTTCAACGTCAAGCATACCCACGCCTACGTTGAGCAAACCTCCACAGCCTGCGTTCGGTGCACCGACTGCAGTGGGTGGTGCTGGGAAAGCAGCCTTTGGTGCACCATCTGCAATTGGTGCAGCTGGCGGCTCTGGATTTGGTGCAGCGGGCAGTATGGGCAACAAGTCATCTCTATGGGGGACGCCTACCCAAAGTTCTGAGGCCAAGGCCAATCCTTTCTCTGGGGGTGGAGGAAACTCATTTGGATTCGCTAAATTTGGACAGAATGGGGGTACATCGAGCTTTTCCAGCTTTGGCAGCGCTGGCTCTGCCCAAGCAAGTTCAGGATTTGCATCACTTGGACAAGGTCAACAAAAATCTGGTTTTGCTAACCTCAAGAGTGAGCCGAGCTTTGGTTCGACAGTCACTGTAAGTTCTGGAACCGGATCGTCGCTACCTTCTTGGGGCAACACACCCGCACAACAGAGCAGCTCTATCTTCGGACAGCCGAGCAAGTCTTCTTTCAACACAGCTTCGTTCGAGTCAAAGGCATCTGATATGAGTGACGCAAACGACACGCAGGGTCGGAAGAGAGACGAGGCTACACCGACACCTCAGGCCCCAGCATCACAGGGCTTGTTCGGGCTTGCTGGTGGCTTCAAACTTGGCACAACATTCAAGAGCGATGGCACTGCTACTGACGATCCGGCAAAGCCAGCTGCGCCTGCGAATGGCTCGTTCTTCGGAAGCGACTTTGCTAACACGCTTGGGAAAACGGGACTTAAACCTCCGGCTACACCCGCGAGCGAGCCCCCACAGTATGTCTCCACCACACCAGCGTCGCCACCAAAGCAGAAGTTGTTCCCGAGTGACACTCCTGCCAAAGACAGCGCAACCCCCAAAGCAGCACCTCCTGTACAGGAGCCGGCTACCCCTTTCGACGACGCCCCTCTTCCACCAGACTTCACCAAGTCAAAGCCATCGAAGGTCGATGACGCACCACTCCCTCCCGATTTCATAACTACCAAGCCTTCGCAGTCAAATGGTGATGATTTGCCCCCGCTTGCAGGTAGTCCAGGTGTCGAAGTGGAAGCTCCCAGTTCTTCGGTCGAGGCGTCTCCAATTGGCAATGGAGAAAACCACAGTGATTACTCTGAGGATGACCAGGACGATGACGATGACGAGGAGCCTGATGACACCTATCCACCAAACAACGCCTCAAAATCATATCAACCAAAGATTGGTACTCAATCAAGCTACTTCCCCCCTGCGCCAACTCCTCCTATCATGAAGTCTGGAGGTACCTCGCAATCCGGACGAAGCACATCACCGACTCAGACCTCTTTGTTTGGACAGCCCTCTAAGCCCAATGGGAACCAGCCATCGTTTGGAGGTAATTCGTTGTTTGGACAGCAATCTGTCAAGGCTCCCTTTGGCAGCAGGCCTAATTCGTCGTCTGCATCTGCGAAGCCTCCTTACCCACCTTCCGCCACCAATCGCTCTCAAAACCTTCGCTCACCCAGTCCAATGCGCCCCAGCTCATCTTCTCGCTTCCGACGTGAGCCTCTGGTCGCACCTGGGGCTTCCCTTAGCTCTTCTCTCCAAGGATCCAAATCACCAACACCCCAGCCGCAGGTTTCCGATCTGGAAGACGAGGAGGACGAGAGAATGCGTGCCCAGCTCGCGCAGCCCATCGAGCCAAGCCGTCATCTTGAGGAATTCGTAGCATACCAGAACTACACAGGGGGCAAGTCGCCTAATAAGTCTGGTCACGCCGCTCAGATTGAAATGATCTACAAGGACATCAATGGTATGGTAGACGCTTTGGGCTGGAACATGAGGTCGATCAAGTCCTTTACTCTATACCATCAGCAACCTCAGCCTAACCACCAAATCGATCGAGGCATGCTGGAAGATATCTTGTCCCAAGGACATGATGGATTGTGGTTCGAGAAGTTCACACTGTGCGAGATACAAGCATTGAAGTCTCTCGAGGAAGATTTAGAGCAGGAGCTTGACGCTGGCCGAGTGCAGGACGTACTCGATAAACTAGCACAGCTTGCTCGCCTCCTCCACGAGAAGGCTAGGCTGATGACTCGTCTCAACGATATTCGTCGCCAGATCATCAACCGCAAGGATCCTGAAAGGATCGAGGCGCTTCGCAAAGCACCCTTGCCGAAGGAGCTTGCGGATGGACAAAAGAGTCTGCGCAATGACTATGCTCAGCTGCTCACATCGCTGCGCAAGGCTGAAGATGCCGTTGCTGTCCTTCGTTCTCGCCTTGCTACTCACAATGCTCAGGCTGGCAGCACCAAGGCAATGCCTTCTATGGAAGCTGTCAAGAAGACAATCTTGAGACTAGCCAATCTTGCGGAGCAGAAGAATAACGACATTCTCGTTCTCGAGGCGCAAATGCGTAAGCTGGGTCTTGCCGAACCGAGCCATCCGTCGTCTTCCTCTTCACGCACTGGCACACCACGACAATCTCGCCGGACCAGTCTGCGTCGCAGTGTCGCCGACACACCATATGCTACACCTCCTACGGGCCACAAAAAGCTCACTCTGACTGAGTTAAACCGTCGCGCTCTTACGCCCGAGGTTGACAATACGCCAACCCCCGGGAAAGGCTACGGCTTGTTTTACACACCTGAAGGTAGCCCCGCAGCCGGCGGAAAAGACATTGCTCGTTTGTCAGACCTCGTTGACGAGAACATGGATACTTTGAGGGAAACGGCAAGAAGCAGGAAACAAGTTGCCAAGAACCTGAAAGGTGTTCTTCTAGAACGAGGAATCAAGGTCACAAGAGTCAATTGAAGGAGAGTGTTAGAGGATGTGGTTGAAAGGTCAAGATTGGTAATTTTGGAATCATGATTGTGTGTATGATTAAGCGTTTTGGTGATACATTGCTGCGAGGTGTTTTATTTGGATAGCGATTGCATCGAACTAGGCGAGGGATTTACGTTGAAGAGGAAAACAAACGTTCGTTCACAATGGCGATTGCGCGATTGGATTCTTTGGTTGAAGATGCATTTCTCAATTCGTGATGCTTATATTGGTTTTCTTGATTGGTTTGTATTCATCTCACATATGCGAAATGTAGAGACTTGCAAAAGATGATTGTCCACGCTCGTTACAGTGCCTAGCGAATGCGGCTACCCCTTAGATGCTGTTATCATAGCATTTACGCCATGTAGTAAGTAGAGCGTAGCCTTTATAATTAAGTACTACTGAAATTTAACAAAACGCGCTTTTTATAACTAATATATGTACTATCACTTTATTGTAAAGTATATCAGTACAAACATAGTTAGTGTAATATAGTATAAAAAAGAGAATTAATATCTACTAACCACTAAGCTATGACACGATTTCATAGCTTAATGAGAGGGCGATAAAAGGGTCTGTTAGGCCACGAAAGAAGGCATTGTACAAATCAGCGCTCGGAGACGAGGGTGCAGGCGCAATTTTTTTTACAGAGTAGATTGTGGAAATTCGGAAATGGCTATGACAGATCATTTTCATAGAACTATAGTAATATTCGTTACATGCATAGATTTTGCAGTTGCTAAAAGTCAAGGTACCTCTCGTTTGTCCCGGCACACAGTGTGTCTAGCCACGTAGGGACGGACTTTAGATAGTATTCAGAAAACTTTTAGTTAACCAATTTACTCGGTTTTCTGCCCTTTTGTCATATATTTCGACCTAGTAGACTCTTCAGCGTTTCAGCCGTAGTAGCAGCAGCAAGTTCTACAAAGAATCGAATTAAGAACCTTCTCGCAATTAACGTCTAGTATACTTACTGCCACAATGCACCACAGCAGGAGCCACGACTATAACCACATTGCTTGCACTATTTACACGGTTAAACAAATTCTTAGTCCCGTTGAATACTTTGGGGATTCACGCGGTCATTGCAAAGTTCACCACCTCCAAAAAAAATGACAGGAGTTGGCACCACAGCCAGCTGAGGTTTTCGCCAAGAAAGTATTATCTGGTTCTACAACCGCGCCAGAGATACCCTCTGGCATGTTTGATACTTTATTTTCAGAAGCTAATCTCGCGTCAGCTCCTAGAACCACTTTAGGCTGTCGTCGCGACCTTCTTGCAGAAGCTCTGGCCATACGTCTTAGTTATTAAAGTACTGTCTTAGAGCGTTGTTCATCTCTATCTGCGTGGGTGGTCGATGCATAACACAATTGTGTTCTTGAAGTCTAAAGGGTCTTCAGAATTAAAAATTAGTTACATATCTATAGTTGTTGTTTCTCCTTCCTTTTATGCACATCCTATTATATCTACGTCTGAATACCTTTCAAGCCTTCTTTCAGCACAACACATAGTTGCTCCACTATAGTAGGTCTATAGCTTACGCGCGAGCTGTTATGCCTATTTGTAGCGTAGCCCTAGCTAAGTATGCGCACGTTAGGGAGTAGGTCGCGCAGCTCCTTGATACTATCGACGCCGCTACCTGGGGTCTACGTCTTCTCGTATTGCCCTTCTTTGAATGGAAGTCTAAGAGCCGTCGCATCGTGTTGTGTCAGGCTAAGCCACACAGTGCTAGAGGCCACTTTAGACACGTAGGAATCACGGTCGAGGAGTTCTGAATTTGTATGTATGGTTATTTAGCCTAAGTAGAGTAACTAAAAGTCACGCAAACGTATGACCCAGGAAGCTAAAAACAGTTAAGCTTGCCTCAATCAGTAGTAATCCGTCTAGTAGCTGTCATCTGCTGCTGGCCCCAGTGTTCGATGTCACGTATGAAGCGCCGGGCGACGCCAATTTTTATACCTCGTGAGATGAAAATTCCGGATATTGGTCGTCATGAAGCTGCTGCAAGTCGAGTCCGTGCTCTAGAGCCATCTCGCACATGTTCCGAATGTTGCAGGTTCGACTAATGAGTGGATCTTTTAGGTACGTCACTTCTATCCAAAACCCACTGGCCGAGTCATATGTATTAAGGAATAAATATGATTTTCATACAAGGAAGTACTGTTTGTCAGAGGCCTTTGTTAATATTTCATTCAATTCCATACTTGTCATCAGCGAACCCAGCACATACGCTGATAGTATATTGGAACAGCTCTCCGCCCACAAAAAAGGGTATATACAAAACAAGATAAAAGAATAAACCAGAGTATACAAGATACCGAGAACCATAAAAAGCACAACCCAGCCTTCTTCGTAAGGAAAAAAACATCTTACTCCTTATCATGCTCCGCCACATATCCCATATCCACCGTATGCCTAACAGTATCATACGTCGCAATCGCGAAGTTACTCTAGCGACTCAAAATCGTCTTCGGATTAACATACTTGTAGTACCGATTCAGCCCAAAAGCATGCAACATGTACGTCGACGAAAAATCCATCTCCCACTCAGCTCTCCTTCTGCGATTCGTAATCGCCACCTCGTAAATCTCCATGGCATCTGTAGAATTCGTCGTCTCGGGCACGGGTGACGCAGGCTTATCGTCATTGGGCATGAACAGCGGATGCGTGCTATCCTGGAACCAGTGGGTTGGGGCAAAGGCGGTGCAGTCGAGGATCAGGACTTCGTAGGGGATGGGGACGAGGCGCTCAGCGACGTTGGTCATGCTTTGCATGTTTGCGGCCCATTCGCCGTTGAAGCCGGCGTGCTGCTCGCGGACGACGATGCGGGCCATGGTGCTGTTGGGCTTGGTCATGAAGACGCCGTTGTTGATTGTGCCGTTTACGCCGCTGTGTTCGCTGGCGCCGCCGTAGTGGCGGCCGCCGATGAAAGCGAAGCCGGTTGTCAGGAGCGGAGTTAGAGGGCGTAACGGGAAGACGTCCCAGTCCATGTAGATGCCTCCAATTTTCTTGTTGGCTTCCTAGCGCAGAAAATCGGATTTGTGCTGGATGGCATCAATGTGCTGGTTTTCGTTTGTGCCGGCAAAGTTGGGCGCGTGGACGGGGTTCTAGACTACGAGGTTGGCGAAGGTGTTGATGACGGATTTAGTCCACCTGTCGCCTTTTTCACTGGCTTCGTTGATCTCAGAGGGGCTGAAGTCGGTGTGGATGTAAATTCGCTCGGGTTTGATGTATAGGACTGCGGCGCAAATGTTTAGGAAGCTGGAGAAGGGGAATTTGAGGACGGATTTTTCGTCCTTGATTTGGACGTAGTGGACTATGCTTGGTATGCTGCCGTGGCCGGATGTGTCGGTAGACTGAAATATGCCGTATTATCTTGCTTTCTCTACGGGGTTGACAAAGAGTGCGGAGACTGAGAGGGCGGCGATGATGCAGGCGCCCGTTATGAGTGCAATGCGAGTGCGTGAGCGGTTATTGGGAGCATTGCTGAAGGGCATATACTGATATAGGCCGCTTTGGGGCTTGAGAAAGCTATAGTACGAGCGCAATTGATCCAACATGGCGGTTGAGTGAGGAAGCAAATGGGCCTACCGTAAAGAAAAAAAAAGACTCAATGAAATGCATAAGGGAATGAAAGAAAAGGAGCTGGAAACCGTTGAGAGAAAAAGAGATGAAATGTCTGACGCCCAGAGTTTAACGTTTGAAGTCAGGATGATGCTGATCATAGTCCGCGTCATGTTGTGAATAGGACCTAACACAGTCTGACATGAACGAAGTTAATAAGGTAAGGAGGAACACTAGATGCACGCAAGATCTGAGTTGAGATGATTGATCCCAATTTTTACGTGAGGGAATTCTTAGTGAGGTTTCTGGCGATCCGCATATATATCTATATACTAGCATGGCTAAGAGAAGGTCCTTTTCCGAGCGGAAGCGCGCGGGTCCTGGCAGATTGGCATAATAGGCTGAATTTCATACAGTAGTCCCGCATTCGTATCTGGATGTAAGCAATCTACGAGTGGGGGTACTGCCCCTGCCATATCTCTGTGCATCGCTTAGGCCTGCGAAAATGAGACATGCGATCTCAAGACGAACCCATTGCACTGGGATATGGTTTTTGCTAATTCAAAACAATGCTGTACAAAGGGGTCGGCTTTTCTCGAAGGTATATGTTTCTTCACCTGCCAAAATGAGATTGTGGTGATGCCGATATCTGATTTGGGATATACCAGTTACAACTGCCGGATGTTTGTAATGTCGCTGACTTGCCCGATCCTCGGAAACAAGTAAGCAGAATCAATGGTCATGTGACACGCGCTACGTATTTAATGCGACTTGGCGACATGCGCCAGGTAGCGCCTCTCATAGCAGCCCTCCTCACATCGTTATTGAATAAACCTGCCATCATTTCTATCACTTTTAGAAGAAAATTTCCAAAATGCTGGATGTAACCACTGAAGTTGTCTATCTGCCATTCAGAACAGGACTGGATCTGTCGATGGGCGAGAAGAAAGAGCATTGGGAAGATACCCTTAATACTATTAAGAGACAACCTGGCGCGATAAGGGTGCTTTGGGGAAGGCAGATTGAGCACCCGGATACAATTCAGCTGGTAATTGGTATGCTGTTTTCTTTTTGATAATATCTGGGAACGCTGCCTTCCTTCCTCCCTCCGCCACACGTTCGCTCTTCCATCGCGCTAACTACATTGAGACTGGGCATCGATGGACTTCCATAAAGCATTCATGGACAGCCCAATCTACCAGCCTTTCCTGAAAAAAAATGGATGACCACCTTCTAGCCGGGACACCAGTCCTATATCATGCCAAATTTCCCTTTGCGCAAAGCTCATACGGTGATCCGTTTACTTCTCCTGTGACCGAATGTATCGCCAGCTTCTTTCCCGCAGATTATCCCGAGTCACAGTATGAAACCAAGTTTACTACTTTCCGGGAGCAAGCCATACAGACCAAGGATCTTGCCGCTGATGGGGTCATTGGCGGATGGAGTATTGAAAGGCAGTCGCATGAGGCGTTGGGAGAGGGAGTAGAGGGAAAATTATTTATGATTTTCATCGGGTGGCCAAATGTAGAGGCACACATGGCGTTTCGGGAAACAGAAGATTTTGCAAGAGTAATTCCGCATTTGAGGGATGGGCCGGTGGGGAAGAGTATGTGGCATGTGGCGTTGAAGGAGCATAAGTAAAGACATTGCTTCTGGGCTGGAAAAGGGCCAAATGGACTTCGGCTTCATATGTCATTTCTTGAGATCTAGCTCTTCTTTTTGGCAGGTTATTCTTTGCAGCTCCGAACCGGAAGGAAAATGTACAGCATGGCCGATATGCTGCTCAATATCTTGTATTCCTTCGATATTGCATCCATATCAATCTTGTACTCCAAATAGATTCACAGCCCCCCTTCCGATAACTTCCAGATTTGCAACATCCTTCAAGATGGGTTGATAGCTGTAGTATGTCGTTAAAAAATCGCTTGGGAATATGTCAATGAAGATCCGATTTGTTGGCAAATTCGTAAAAAGTGTCGGTCAAAAGTGTTATCAGAGATGGTAAGATTAGAAAACCCGGTCTCCTTTGGGGTGTAATTACCAGGCTCTCAGACGGTATGGTATAGGCCAAGAAAAGAACTGGAGCTGGAGTATCCGGGAAGGAAGCCCTATTCTTTGCCCATTCGATGTGGGATAGTCGGACAAGACCAGAAATGTCCTTCCAAGCGTCGATGATAGACTGTAATCCGTAGCTTGATGGCCGAGAGAACATAGTCACTCAGGACATACCCTTTGGTGGAAAACTGGACTCGCGCTTGAACCCCTCCTTTGAAATCCTGCAGAATTTGAGCATGGCCAGCTGAGCCCACATGCCGTTCCACTCCTTCAGCTTGCGCAGATTGGCTGCATCCTCGAGATCCGGTACCCAGAAGCCAGAGGCGTACTCGTCCCGCTCGGTCTTTTGATTAATTTCAAGCAGATTTTGGCGCGTGCTTGGCGGCCTTCCTGGACGGCGTTCTGCTTTAAGTTTTGCCAGCTCTTCATCATCTCTGCCAACATAATCCTCAATCATGGCCTGGACTTCGGCCACGCTAAGTGGCGATTCATGCTCTGTGGTGTATGATTGAAAAGATTTTATCCGAGACACTACTATATGTTAGTCAACTGTATACCCACATCCCAACATCAACTACACATACAATATGTGCGATTCTGATTTTCTCGGATTTTGCTCAGGCGGTTCAGCTTATCATCTCTTTGCGCTGCGCTTTGTAGGCGCTTGGTGTCCCGGCTGCCCTCGTGGAGGTTTGGATTCTTGCCCTTCTTCTTGGCGATCTGCTTGTGTACCTTGTCGAGGCGATTGCTGACCATTTTGACCTTTTGCCGTTTTTGCAGCACTTGTTGGTGTATGGGGCAAGAAATTTTGGATAATGCGTCGGGGCTCGGCGCTGGTAGTCACGCTAGCCGCTGGACTTGGTTAGCGTGTTCTTAGCGGGGCGCGTTCCTGCCGTGGGCGTGGAACCGCGATGAATGCTCCACTGCTGCATTTAGACTGTGACGGCTCTTTCTTTCCATACCTCTCTTATACACTTGGTCTGGACGGCTTCTCTCCTATTGACACGTCTGCATTCCACACCAGCATGCTGTCATAGTGTTCGTACTGCCGCCATTGTATAGGCTCGACGCGTGAGCGGCAAAGGGTCCACAATGGGCATCTCAGGTCAGCGCACCCAATCGTAGGCTGTGCATCGCTAATAGAGGAACAGGACTTCTCCCACTGCTGAAGTCAGTCCAGAAGCCAGGCAGTCTTAAGAAATATGCAGGCCAGACTATTGGTGTTGACACTTATGGCTGGCTGCACCGTGCAACTGCTGCCTGCGCCATTGATCTGGCCCTAGACAAGCCCACCACAAAGTATGCAGCCCCTGGCCCAGTGAGCGAAAGGTGTGCTGACAGTCTAATAGATATGTCGATTTTGTCATGCATCGTGTTCGCATGCTCATCCACTTTGGTGTTACCCCTTACCTCGTTTTCGATGGCGACAATCTCCCAAGCAAGGCAGGTACCGAGAAGGGTCGAAGAGAGAGAAGGAAAGAAAGCAAGAGGCTGGGATTGGAACTTTTGAAAGTTGGCAAGGTAGCCCAGGCGCAACAGGAACTTCAGAAGAGCGTAGATGTGACGCCAGAAATGGCGCGAATGGTTATTGAAGAGCTGAAAAAGAACAACATCCAATATGTTGTTGCACCATACGAGGCCGATTCACAGCTTGCATATCTCGAACGCAAGGGAATCATTAACGGCGTGCTTTCAGAAGACTCCGATTTGCTCGTCTTCGGAGTCAAGTGTCTTATCACGAAGCTAGACAAGTATGGAGAGTGCATTGAGGTCAACCGGAATCATTTCACAGCCTGCAGAGAAGTCAGTTTCGTAGGCTGGTCCGATGCCGACTTTCGAAGAATGGCCATCTTGAGCGGTTGTGACTACCTGCCCGGTATAGGTGGGCTTGGTTTGAAGACTGCCCATCGAATGCTACGCAAACACAAGACTGTAGATCGTCTTGTCAAAGCCGCCCAGTTTGATGGAAAGCTTAAAGTACCTGCTGGGTTCATGGAATCGTTCGACCAAGCAGAGAAGACATTCCTTTACCAATGGGTCTACTGCCCAGTTGAAGAGAAGCTTGTCAACCTAACGCCGCTTGGTGATGGGGTAAATCTTGCCGACATGCCGTACATCGGAGAGGAGGTCCCACCCCACCTTGCCAAAGGTGTCGCTTTAGGCGACCTGTATCCGCGTTCGAAGCTTCCAATGGAAGTTGCTGGCAAGTCTAAATCCAACATCCAGCCGCTGGCCCCCTCCCGACGGTCTTCAGCGATTATGCAAACGCCCGATGCAAAGAACATGAAGTCAATTGACTCCTTCTTCAAGCCCAAGCGCACACCCTTGGCTGAGTTGAGCCCGAACCTCTTTACTCCTTCACCAAGCCAGCAAGTCTTGCTTGAGCAACAACGTACCAGTAGTGGCTGGGCTGCAGTGCCAGCTCCAATTTCGCGACTACAACAACAGTATCCTCCACCTCCCAGTACGGCACCCCAGCCCCGGCGTACAATAACAGATCCTATTGGAGGCCGGCGGTCGGTCCCTCCGTCCAAGAGACCCCGGCTTTGTTCGGATTCTGTATTCGACACTCCTACCGCTGGCGGTGAAGATGTTGTGCGAAGTCAGTTCTTTGCATCATCCACGCCAGAACCAAGTCCAACGTTACATCGTCGGAAGAAGAGCAGGAGAAAGACCGACCAGGATATTCAACTTTATTCGGACGACTCAATCCAAGAAGGAGAAGTGGAAGCTGCTGATTTGGAGCAGACTGCATCTCAGCGGAAGAACAAGTTGCGAGTCTTCAGTGATGTGCAGTCAAGTATAAGTAGCGAATCACAGTCAACGACATTTTCGAGAGGTAGTACGGCTCAATCTCAAGAGACCGCCGGTACATCCACGCCGGCATCATCTCCCGGCAGCCCAGAACCAGAGTCATCCTTTAGCGCAGCGATATCTTCTCAACTCAGCGATTTGCGGTCAAAATTTACCTACAAGGCCCCAGGCATCCCTTCGCCGACAAAAACAATGCCCCGGGTTCCTAAAGCTCGTCTTGATAGGCAAACTACTGAGGCTTCGCGGCCTACGCCACTGTCGCTCGAGTCTGGTTCAGCATCTCTTCCCGAGACACCTGCAGAATCAATTCTCCCTGGTACGCCGCCGCCCGCAGATGAAGAAGTGGATCTGGTGGACTCTGCTTGGGCAGCTATGGAGTCTGAGGTTGTTGTTGCTGCAAGTTCACCGCCTCCTGTAACGCCTGCGAAGCGGAGGCGATCGTCGTTGAAAGGAAGCGAAGATCTGCTTGTACTAGATAGTGATGTGGAAAGCGTGTGTTCGCCGCGGAAGCCCATGTTTAATCTTGCTCGTTTTGCATTTGCCGGATAGTCTTTTGCACGTTTGCAAAAAAATTGTGTATTATTACGATGAGCATGAGTTGCTGTTTGGCGTTTTGGTTTGGGCGTGACTTGGGTGGGACTATGGTTATTTGAAAATCAGCGTAGCGGGACCAGAGACTTGAAGTATTGTGACATGGATCTTTAACTGTACATATCATACTCTTAATACCCATCTGTTCCTGAATTGCCAATGCTTCTTTCCACAGTAGTACTATGGGCAACCTAGATATGCCACAGACCTCATTGGTGAATGACAAGGAAATATGAGCATGCGCTCGATTCCAAAATCTCATCTGCAACACTGGTTTTGAGTGTTGCCTATGCAGATCAAGCAGTTTCACACGATACATATTCCTTTACGGTGGAATATTCGCACATCTTACAGCGTGTAATTGAGCTAGTCTTTAGTCTCAACCAAAACCTTGGCACCAGAATACTTCATTGAGACCATACGTGCAAATAATGCACAAAGCGACCCTATTTCCATACACGTTACGGGTATTGCGTATGGACAAGCCACGTCTCTTACAAATAACGATTAATTTCTTGTGAATTCTTTCCAACATCAGAAAACAATAGTAAGTAACTATCTATTATTTTTCCAAGTCTTACGCCATTAGATGTACAACTACACAGTAGTCTCTTTCTCATGCAACCCACATGTTAAGCACTTTCGCAACCACGACAACTGTGACACGTGCTCAACCTTGCCCCTTATAGCGAGTGGCGCAGCTGCGAAATAGCTCGCATTTACATGGCTAGGCTAGTTGCGAGGGGCGGTGGGGGGAGACCTGGAGCTGAACCTATTTGGGATAGGACAACCATTTAATGGTAGCCTTATTCTTTACTAAATTCACGCCAAGCATCTAGTTACCAAGTGTTACTGCAGGAACGTCAAAGTGGGAAAAGTGGGGTGATGGTTTCAGACCCCCCTTTGTTTAGGTATTGGCATTACATCGTGGATTGTAAATTAGTAAATCATTTGATTTGACTTTTTGGATATTATGGGACTATGTATCCATAGCATGTATGATTTGACTAATTTTCTACTACTTTTGAATTATGTTTTGTACAGATGCAGTGCTGATTATGTTATCCAATCGTAAATGTCGCTTTTTTTTTGGGGGGGGGGGGGCAAGGACTAATTCATCTAGCAAGTGAGGTCAAAGTACGGTGTGCTACTCTGAAGAGGCGTGATGGCGAAAGACAAATCAGTCTGGCCAGCATTGGCATCCTTGAGGGTGTACCAAAAGGTAGAACGCACACCAAAGAGGGAGCAGCCGACTTCTTTCCAGTAGCGCTTCATGTTTTCGAGAGAAGCAACGGCATCGCGACTCACGGGTCCAACTGTGAAGTGAGTTAGCAATTGTGATTTGTTTAGAATTGTTTGGAATCGTATATAACTTACTTCGTGGCCAACCAGTCTCAGTGATGATGACTTCCTTGCCGTCTGCTACGCTCGCAGTCTGGGCAACAGAGTTGAAAAAGTTTTCACGTGCCATATCAATGGAGTTTGGCCTGTCGCTCTCAAAGTAGGGGAATGAGTTGTGGCCGAGCCAGTCCACGGCGCGGGCGACGCCACGGTTCTCCGCCAGAGTCCAGGCAGTCCATGTGTCTACATGGCCAACGGGGCATTTGGCGAGTCCAGTTCCACGAACCCAGTCACGGAGCCAACCGATGTATCCCTCGATTTCAGCACCAGTAGCACCAACGCCAGCGTTGTTCTTGATTCCCTGCTCGCTGCTGCGGTACAAGTCCTCAGATCCTACACTGATTCCAATAATCCTGTCTGTGAAAGGGGTGCCCAGATCCCTAGCAGCCTGAAGAAGGGCGTTGAGTTCTCGCTCATAAGCGGCACGTCCGGCACTGGCCCAGAGACCTACAAGGATCCTGGTATCGGTATCGATGGCTGCGCGGAAGGCTGAGATGGGCTCTGTTTGGCTACCGCATTGAATCGATGTGTACAGACGTGCTGTGTTGAAGCCAGACGCTCCAGGAAGGGTCTTAGCCTCGTTGAAGAAGCGGACGAAGTCGTCGTACCCGCGGCATGAGCCATCTGCGTTGGTGGCACCGTAGTTGAAGCCCTTGGATTGAGCGACAGCAGTGGCCGCTAGAGCGAGAAGTGATGCTGCTTTTGCCCACATTTTAAAAATTATAAGGTAGTTTGATATACTGAACGAATGTTGGGACGTGGGCTTGAGAGAACGGCGTTGGTGTGTGTGTAAAGGAGCAAGAATCAAAGAACAGTCGGAACTTTATCCTGCCATGCAGCCGGAAGTTAAAATAGAATCTTGTCCCTGGGCCATTGTGGTTGGTTGCATGCCAAACTCAAGGATGACGCGGACGAGGCTCATTCCTTTTGTGTGCCAAGGGCTGTTGAATGGCGATCTGCCAAGTACCGTGCTGGGCGGAGAGGTCTACGGAGTCTGGGCCTGAGGCACAAAAGCAGTATATGTTGTGCAACAAATGTGATTTGGGGTACTTTCTGGAACTCCTGTGCACAGCAGACGGAGATGAGGGATGCAGTGAGTGCGAGACAGGCCCATGAATGGCGTGAGGCGGGTTACAAGGACCCGTAAGCAGGACCGAAGGCGCCGCGTTGAGCCGATCCCTTTCGCACAAGCGTGTATCGCGGATGCGCCCGTGTGAGATGGCCACGACAGCGCAGGATGAAATGCTGGCACATGCAGGTTCCAGAAGCGCAGGTCCTTTCGCGAAACAAAACATGGATACGCTTGGTTGTAGTGTCAACATGGCACATGAAACCCCCGACGCCGACCATCAACCACAGTAGACCCTGGACGGGGATTTCTCCAATCCATGACATCATCCATCAACATGTTTGCTTTATACGGATAAGGCTGCGCTTTCGCCCTGCGTAAATGTATTGCCAAGATGCCAAAGAAGAAAATTGCCACAAGAACAATGAAAACGTAAAGCTTTCCCCAACCGCAACCCGAATGCGATCTGTTCACCTAATACAGAAATCAATTCTTGTCCTATCATAAGCTTTCCCCAGGATCCTTTACGGCAGGTCAAATATACGAAATAGAGTTTCTACCAACTGCTGGGCCCCCAGAATGTTAATTTGCGGTCTTATGCTGTTCATGACGAAGACGCATACGCAAATGATATCTAGTAGGAGTGGTGAAATTGTAAAAATAGAAAGGGAGATTGACTTGGCGTGTTCGAGAAATCCGATTCACCCGTTCGAACATCTTGGCCTCCAGCCGTCATACATATTATAGTCCAGCTCCATTATGGCCAAGCGCCCAAGGGGATCGAGCGCATAACCCGCCTCCGCCTAGCATTGCCATGCATGCTCGTCGTTGTAGCCTGACGCGACGGCGACGTCTCTTGGTAAACTGGCATACTCTTTCCTCTTGGCTCCACGTGCTCGATCGTGACTGGCGTCGTACAACTGGGTATCCGTATACGGCGTTCGCCACCGACTCCGCCATTGATATCGGGGTAATCTCCATCCGTTGCATCTTGTTCCTGCTGGGCGGTACTATTCTTGCCATCAAATCCGGAAATGTTAACTAAATTTATTGCATCGGCTTGGCGATCAAGGGGGCCTTGTAATTCGATAGCGAGGACGTTGGAATTGTATATACCGAAGAAAGGAAAGGTACTGGATAACACTTCTGGCTTTCAGCCTGACTGTCAAAGATGCACACAGTTGCGCACTCACGGCCGAACGAAGGACTAAATCATATACACCAAGACAATAAAAGCCGAGAAATGATCTGATTGAGGATAAGAGCAAGACTGGAAATATCGGCCCATGTGGAAGGATGTTTGTGTTTATTACCGTTGAGAAGATGGCTTAAACACTACCTAACCCTCTCTTTAGTGGTACAGCCGTTTATCGGGTGACCAAACTCCTCATTCTACTAGTTATATACGACAGAGTTCTGCGATGCTTACTGTGCGGACCATATTAACCCCTTTCTTCCTAGGAGCCACTTGTTTCTTAAATTTGTCAGTCATGTTTGTATTTCAAAGCGCATCACCAGTATCGGAAGTCTGTTGCCTAGACGGTGAGTTAACTAATCATGACAACAGACACAGTATGTAGTGCATTTCGGACAGGAAGTGCCTTAATGTGTATTTTTCATAGTATGATCTGGTGCAATTATTAAAATACACTGGTTCTGGTTTGGACACCAGCATATCATCTCATAGGCAGTGTATCGATGATCTACGAACCCATACAAAAACGACCGACCCGCAAAGACATATAGCCAAATTACTATCGGCGTGTTTTCAACTCAAAAAGTTTGCTTTTTGTGGTTCAAGCACACGTTCTATGTTCCGAGGGGGGCGTTCGCATACTTGACCAGCCATGACGTCAAGACATCGCGCCCATCAAAAGCAGCAGCATCCTCATAGAGTATACATTGCATGTAAATTCAATAAAACAGTCAATAGAATGACACTTCCAGTAACAGGCAAGTCCGACAAGGACACCCTCGGAGCAAGCCTCGAGACCGAATTCGAGAAACGACCCGACCCCGTATCACTAACCCAGAACCCCGACCCTTCGCAAAACACCTCTTCAGGCGTCGACTACGAACCGCATCCTGAAAACTCGATCAAACTAGAGCCCGAGAGAGAGAAGGTCGTACAATCCATATGCAACTTGTATTCTGGAAGTGCGAGCAAAGACGACATGATGGTGTACGCCAAAGAAGCCGTATACGACGACCCGTGGAGTTACTGCGACACGCGATATAAGATCGCGGGCCAGTGGTACGGTACGTAGCTTGTCAGCTCTCAAAAAAAACACTCCCCCATGCGGTAGCGAAGACGGGAAGCTTTTACTGATGACACGCGCCAGGCATACCTATCCTCATGAAAAGCAGTCGGACTATTAAAACAGAAGTTGTTTCATCAAAGCCCGATGAGATTATCTTCAAGTTGCAGCAGGAGTACACGCCCAAGCCTGTGCCTGTTGCCAAGAAGGTTAATAGTTTGGTCACGTTGACGTTGGATCGGGAGGGGAAAGTGAGGTATCACAAGGTATGTTTGGTTTGAAGTTATTGGTATTTGTAGAGCTCGAGCAGACTACATATGACAGTGATGGCAAGGGGATGTGCTGACTTTGAGTAGGATATGTGGAATGAAAAGGACTATAGTCATGAGGGTTTGGGCAAGATTTTGAAGGAGTTGAATGGGGATCATTTGGCGAAAATCACGAGACCACCAGAAGATCTTTGAGAAAGAGAGGGCCATGAATGGATGGTCTTTTGATTGTATTTTGTGTAATTACTAAATTTGTTATTACCGCGCTTTCGAATGTTAGTGTGTGTTGATAGCTTTTAATCAGAACACGAGTAGGCAGAGATGCAACTACAACTCGATTGTTTGTGTTCTTAACAATTTCAGAGACAGTCAGTGAGTCAGCGCTGATGAATTTCAAGTCGTTTCTTTATTTTAGAAGGTTCGCCGTTTTTTTCTGGACATTTGAATGACTAACATACATCCCTTTGTACCGGAACAACTGGCATAGCGAAACCTTGCGATCTTACCGCTTGGAAGATGCCACACTCATAGAAATGACGTTGGTATCTCCCAGCTTTGGAAATCGCTCAAACCTCTAACCTTCTGATATTACTTTGTGACTTGCCTCAAGCCTTCAATGGCAGATCCCTGCTACTGTCTTGCGCAGTACCGATCCACGAGGTCTCAAGTGTTTGTTTCGATATCCTAGTTAGTGCAGTCTGTTAGTGGGTGTCCAGCATACATGTGATTGGTACTAACCCATTTTGGAAATGGCGTAAAGGTATGCTTGTTCCCAAGGTATACCAGGGAGCCTTCATATCTGTGGAGTTCCAACAACCCAGGGTATATTAGCTAACCTGCACGGGGGCTCCATGCCATATTGCTCATTATTCTCCGAACGAAAACAAGGTCGATCTTTAGCCGCCTGAAAAGCACGAGTAGTTCCAGCCAAGATGTCAAGTACTGTCTGTCACGATCTTCATAGCAATGATATCGGTGCTTCTCCAACGTCTTCTGCACCCCCTTTTCAATCATCTCGTCGATATGCTGAAGAAACAATTCTATGTCAGGGGTCTTTTCGATGCCTCCAAAGGATGTGAGGTGGTACTAGGCTATCTCATACAATATCCACAGGCGCGGCTTGAAAGATGGGTAAAAGTACGAGAAGCCAGTGTTGCGGATCACGCCTGTCATAGTCCGCAAGCCATGACTGAAGTACGTTTCTTCCGGGCCTGATCGTGGATGCTGAGGCAGGCATGTCCAGTCCACCCAGATATATAACCACTCTTGCGGCCCTATTTGAGCTTGGTGAAGACGTAAGGTCTGCCCATCTGGATCGGGATTCTGCCTCTCCCGCCAGAAATGGCTGATAAAAAAGCAATCTTTCCGCTGAACATAGCCTGACATCGCGAGTAAGAGAACATAGTCGTCTAGGACTTCGCGGGACCACTTCCTGAAGCGGTTTTGCGAAATGAAAGCATCTCGACTTTGGAAGAACCAAAAGGTGGCGGAATGGGGACTCTCAGCAAGGAACTCGTCCAATGAGTGATATTCGCTTAACAAGTCCTCATGGAGGTATTTGGAGAAAGGCAGCTCATCGTGTGTGAGGTCATTTCAAGCAGTGATACTCCGACTCACAAGCGAAGACCATGCGGAATCTTGAGTTGGCGTCACACGCGAGAGAGCCATTGCGTGCAGATTTGAAGTAATCCCGAAATAAAGGGGACACCGGAATATGTTATTCCAGAGATTTGGGAAGCTTGTAAACTACATACCATAACAGAGCGTTCAAGCCTTGACACCTGTATTGGGGTGGTCGGGCGAGGATTGGGCGCTGGAGCCTACAAGGCTGAAGTTGCTGTACGTAGGCTCACGTGACGAAGACCTGCATGTGCCAGGACGGTCGAACCCCTGTTATGAGAAAAGATGCGAAATGTAGATACCGGAAGCCGATTCTGCAAGCTTACGTAGAGTGGTCGTAGGGGTGGGCTAGTTCCATGGATTTGCTGCTAACTATTTTCCTTGCTTTAATTTCAAATGGTGAGCGCTGTTAATTCTCTCCATGTGGACTTTAAGATATCACCTCAATACCCAGGACATTGGTTTGATTACTTCACCACATTCACCCAGGCTCAGATTCAAGAATGCAGTTTCTATATCCCCGAATTGGCACTGCTGAAACTATGCTTGAAAAAAAAACTACTTTTGCATAGCCTTTGTGAGGGTGCGTGTTAAATTTCATACACAACCACTAAGCACTCTGAATGCATTGAGCCAATCCACCCCAGTTATCCTTACACCATGGCGCCAGCACTATCGCTCTCTGTGCATCTCCGACATCTCCAGTACTATTCATTGCACCGGCCAAGCCAGCAGCACCGAGCGAGCCTTTAGGAGGTGCGTTGCGCATCGCTGTTTCCTTTGCAAGTGTACTGGCGAATTCATCACCGCCGGTGGCATCTGCGAGCTCTGCCCAACCAGTATGCTTGAAAGGCGCTAGCATAACGCTTCGACGTGCTTCGTCGAGTTCTTGTTCCTCGCCACCAAGACTGATGGATATAGCTTCCATGACCTTTTCGACCCGCGCCAGCTGGTGATCACTGAGATCCTTGTTTGTACGCATGCGATTGAGGTCGTCCTTGATGGCTTCCATGGTTTCGAGGTCGTCGTCAAGAACTGTCATGGCGCCGATGAGTGTCAGTAAACCCACATGGCCGTCGTGTTTCTCAATAGCAGCGAAGAGCTGGTCACGAGCCACTTGCTTCTCGTTCTTCCCGCCTTTGGCCCAGAGGACCTCTGCCAGTATGCAAATGATGTCAGGGTTGGCACTTGTTGTCTCTAAAGCTCTGCGGAAGTATGCTATTGCTGCGTCAAACGAGCCGTAGAAGTAATGCGCGAGACCAGCTGTGAGACGGGCGGATAGTTTAGTCTTTGCAATCTGGTCTTTGGACAGAGCAGTTTGTTTGGAATTGCTTTGGATCTCTGAAAGAAGATCGAGAGCAGTCTCGGCATCCTCTACTGCCATTTCGTCTGATCCAATGGCGAGAAGATTGCGGGCCAAATCCGTCTTGGCTTGGGCCACCTGAGCCAGTGACTTCATCGACTCGTTCTTCTCGTATTCCTGCTCGACGGTTTCATTAACCATGTCCAAAGCAGTCACAGCCGCACCGTGGTTGCCTACACGCTCCAAGAACAACGCCGCAAGATGTCTGTGCGGGATGTCATATGGCGCTTGCATGCTTAATTGTTGGAGCGCAAAGAGCGGCTGTATGAGGCTTGTGATATCGCTCGATGACGACGGGGAAGAAATTAAGAAGTCAAACGCTGAAACCGCATACTGTCGCTTGGTGAGGAGTAGCGACGACTCTGAGAGTTCGAATGCGTGAGTAAAGTGGGATAGCGCTTCGTTGGAATCACCAGTAAGTAGTGCAATGATGCCCTCGCCTACCCATGCCAAAGAGTAATCAGGGTCTTGCGACTGTGCCCTCGAGAAGGCTGCATGGGCGAGCTCGGTATCGTTCTGGAGCAGATAAAGCGCTCCGAGGTTAGTCCAGGTGTGCACACTTCGCTCGTTTAAATGTAACGACCGGACGAAAGCATGCTGAGCAACCTTGGGACTTAATGTTGTCGTAATTACACCAAGCGAGTTCCAGAACTCAGAGTTGCCAGCCTCGAGCTCAATCGCACGCTTGAAACACTTCATGGCCGCTCGAAGATATGTCGTTAGCTTAGAATCTTCTCCAGATTCCTGCTCCAGGCACACGTGGGCTCTGTACTCAGTCCAGCCAAGATTGTACCAAGCTACCGCCTGTGCGTGTATGTCGTGCGCACAGCTTACGATTGCTCTTTTTTGAGCTAGAATTGCAGCCTTGAGGACTTTTGTCAGGATCGAATCTCTGTTCGTGGAAAGCGAAGCCAGTTCTGCCTGACCAAGTCCATCGACGTCTTTGTGCGCGTCGAAGTCAAGGTCCATGTCTGACTTGCTTTGCAGAACCTTCACAACCAGCTCGAATGGACATTGATCAAGCTTGTCTTGAACCCAGCTGAAAATACTGCAAGCATCTCCGGCAGCCTTCCATAGGTTGAAGGCGTCGGGCTTATATTCTGTGATGGTGTCGGCAACCTCGATACCTCGAGTCACACTGTCGGCAGCTTCCCCAAAGAATCCAGTTTCGACACAATGCCATGCCTTTTCAACAAGTGTCTGCAATAATGCGATGGATACGCCAAATTCCTTCGGTCGTACAGCCAGTACTGCTTCGTAACCAGCAAGGGCTTCGTCGAATTCGCTTAGTTCGCGATTGACGTTGGCCAACATATACTTTGTGAACCATCCCTCTTTGTCTGATCTCTTCATTACCACGCCATCTGTGGGGTTCTCGGCATAGTTGAAAGCACGAGAGGCCGAGTTGTATCGTCCAGAATTATGATAGCTCTCACCAAGACCAACATATGAGTAGTAGTCGTCTGGACTGATGCGTAATGCTGAAAGAAATGACACGATACTCTTTTGGTATTCTTGCTTGTTCATCTGGACCACGCCGAGAGCTGAGTATGGCCAACTGATGCCCTTTCGCTTTGAACCAGGTGTTTGCCGGGCCTTACCAGAGTCCACTACTCGTTGAGCGATAACTTCAACAATGTCCCATTCTCCTTGGTTAGCGAAAAGACGGGCCAATCGCTCAGCTGCCACAATCTCGGAAGGTGATAGCTCAAAAGCCTTTTGGAAACACTGCCTGGCGCGCTTGCGGTCTTTGTTGTAGTCCTCGTAGAATATACCGAGGAGTGTGTAGGCAGGGGCATAGTTTGGATTTGCTTTTATAGCTGCAAGTAGCTTGGCGTATGTCCTTTGTCGATCTTTTCGTGCAGCTTTTGAGTGATCGAGTTCCCATAGACAAACACCTATCCTATAAAGGGTCTGTGCTCGAAGTTCACGGCCACGTTGCTTGGTTGCGTCGAGTTGGGGGTAATCAAGATACTGTTGGAGCCTTTCCAAGCCCGTGTTGTAGTCTCCAGCCAAAGCCTGACACCACGCTGATTCCGCACCGATACGGCCGTTTGAGGGATCTTGTTGCAATGCCTGCTCTAGGAACTGGAAAGCCTTCTCATATTCTTCCTCCTCTTCTAGGACCAGTCCAATGCCAATGAGTGCAGAGGTGAATTGAGGTTTGCGTTTCAAAATGGATTCGAAGATACCTTTGGCTTCCAAGTGGTTTCTTGGTGCTTGGTAGTAGACCAAAGCAGTAGCGAGGGTGCTGCTTAGAGCATCGCGTGTTTTTTGGAACGACAAATCAGTCTTTTTGGCCTCCGCAGCCGCGTACTTGAGGCCTTTCCTCGTTGTTTCAACTGCACTTTCATATTCTTCGAGGAACAGGTAATAGTCTCCGAGAAGGCAATGAGCCAAGGGAGACTTTGGAGCTTCGCTAAGACCTTCAGTCATCAACACCAGGCAATCTTCCTGTGAGACTGGAACATCTTGGGTAAGGGCTACCCCGCCTTCACTCAAGTCCGGCCCTTCTTTTGAATCACCCTCTGCAGTAAGCGGGTATTTTGCTATGCCACTGCTGAGCCAGCCTATGATGACTTTTGATAGACCCTCGTTCGGGAATAGCTCGATGAATTGCCGTAATGTTGAGATGTCCAGATCCAGCAAGTCATGTGCGCTGTCTGCGTGTGACGCCATGACGGCGGCTTGATGGTATTGCGGCTCGGCCAGTGCAATAACGACCGCACAAGTAAGATTTCGAGGAGAGAATAGCAGGTGAGATGGTTCTCCAGCTGCCAACGCAGAATGATAGTCTTTGTCGGATTGATCGAAGTCGGGATCAACGCGCCAAAGTGCCGTGCGTCATTGGATCTCGCGCGCCCCACCTAGACATGCAACTCAACTCAACCCTCCATGGCACATTCATAGCAAGCATCCCGCCGTACAGACGGCCGGTTCGTCACCACATGAACTCGTACTGACGCCATGTCTACGAAGACAGCGCTCAAAGCCGCCAAAGCTGCAATTGGCGCAAAGGACTGGGAGGAAGCGAAGAACCAGGCCAAAACAGTAATCGACAAAGACCCAGACAACTACTTTGCGTATCTGTTCTTGGGCCGCGCAAACGATGGACTGAGCAAATTCGATGAGGCTGCAAAAGCCTACTACAAAGCGACTCAGATCAAGCCAGAAGATCCTCAGGCATGGCTGGGCCTGAGGGCCATGTACGAGGGGCTCAAGGGCGCAAAGGTCGATGAGAACATTGACGTTGGTCTCGCGCTGGCCCAAATATACATGGACCTGTACGTTTTGATCATTCTCCAAGAGAAAGAGTTCGTACTAACAAAGTACAGCGACGACCCCCACAAGTCCCAATCCGCAATCGACAAGCTCGTCGACCACGCCCGCGCCCACGGCACAAAAATGCAGTACGCCCGCGCCCTCAGCACCCAACTGCCCTCCTCCCCCGTATACGCCTACCTCGAAGGCCGCCTCACCGATCCTGCAAAAGTCTACGCCCGCATCGCTGAAATTCACGAGACACACGACGCAACAACCATCAAGCGCCTCGTCGAAGAGCGCCGGCTCCGCGTCGGCGCTACCCTCGAAGGCACCACTGCTGCTGTCAAAAACGAAGTCTATGCCGCGAGCCCGCTGGAAGATATATACGAACAGGCAATCAACTGGACGCGAGATGACGAGCTGCGCAGAGAGTACGAAGAGAAGCTCCTAGCGCGAGCATACGACACACTCATGGTACTTCCCGCAGGCCAGAAAGCAGAGAAGAGAGAAAAAGTCATGAGGCTGGCGCACGATATGGTCGTAATCAAGCATCCAAACCTACTAGCCTGGACCATCGAATTAGAATGGCGATCAGGCATGGAAATCGAAGCGCATTAAGTTACTTTAAGCGGGAAAGCATAATAGCTCGGCGTTTTCTTTGGGGTGGGNGGGGGGGGCGGGAGGCGTGATGCTCAACCCAAGATATATTTACTACCCGCACCATTTGACAAAAAAACTCATTTGAATATCCTCCACTTGAACTTTCTGTGCTTCAACACCTAAACACCGTAGGTATGCGATTCGACAAACCCATCCAAGCACTCCCTCCATCCTCTTTTCTCTACCTTCAAAACCCCAATTAAACATGATCAAATAAAATCAACATCCCAAACTCCATTCCATTACTCCCATCCCTTTCTCTCTCTCTCTCTCTCTTTCTCCCAAAGTTAAACTTTACCACCACCAGCCCCAACAACCCTCCTCCTCTCCTCCCCACTAAACAACGTCTCCCCTTGCTTCAACGCATGAATAAGCATCGCCACGCTACTTGCCTTGAAATCCGGCGCTTCGCGTACTTTGTCGAGATCGTCGCCGTATTCCGTGGCTAGCTTGCGGACGTACAGCGTGCGGAAGTCCTCGTTGCTTTGCTGGCCTGCGGCAGGGGGATTGGCGGTTGCTGATGGTGCTTGAGGAGGAGATGGAGGAGGGGCGTCTTCCATGGTTACGTCGTTGTCTGGTGAGGTAGAGGAGGCTGGGTTGGATTTCTTTTTTGGTTTTTTGAGGGGGGTGGGCGAGGGTGGGTTTTGCTTGGTCTGTTGCTGCTTGCATGTTAATGATGAGGGTTGGTTGTCTGGGGTTAAGAAATATGGGGCTTACGCTTGTGTCAAGGGATGCTGGTGTGACAGCGCTTTTTTCGCTGGAGATGTCGCTGTCGCTTTCGCTGGAGGATGAGACTGGGTGCGGATGGCATTAGCGGTCACGCGTTTTGCAACTTGTGGTGTAGGTATGGACGTACCTTCTGTTCTCGTCCTTCGCTTCTTTGAGCGCTTCTTCTTCTCGACACCGTTCGCTCCTCTTTGCGCCGCCATGTTTCTTTTGTTTTTTTGGTAGAGTATAGTTAGTATAGTTGTAGATGGGAAAAAAGTTCGAGACGTGAATGTTGCGTTATCGATAGGGCACGTGCTGGCGCTAAATCAAGGGTCTTGCATGGATTTGTCTTAATAGCCATCGGTCTACTATGAACATCACGTCATTGGTTGGTAAATGCTCATGTCGGGTAGCTTCTTAGATCACTACATAGCCGCCAATGGATATGTACTCGGTGAAGCTAATCTACAAGCTATTCTCTATCGCAGCCAATTCCCCCATGGTATTCTTCACACTCGTCTTCAGCGCCTCACCAACCGGCATATACGGCCGTCTGGGATTTAACCTCTCCTCCGCACCCTCAATCCCCGCCGCCTTCGCACTGTACTGACTAACCGCATGTTTTGTCGGCGCAATCCCAGCCTTAATCGGGCTCTCAGCCAGCGCAGCCTTACGATGCAGCTCCAGGGCCTCCTTTGTCTTCCCACTCGTATACAGCTCGTAAATCTTCGAGCAGACCTTGGGAAAAACATTACTAAACGCTGACACGCACCCCGCGCTCCCAACGGCCAACCCAGCAATCATCCAGTCGGCCTGTCCTGCAAACGTCGAAAACATGTCGCTCGGCAGTTCAGCACAGAGTCTTGTGATTTTAGCTACACTTCCGCACGTCAACTTCACGCCCACAATCTTGCCTGGGTTCTGCTGCGCAAGCGCGGCAATAGTGACGGAATCGAGATCCACGCCGCTGCAGATACCCGGGAAATTGTAAATAACAATGGGCAGCGAGCTCTTTTGTGCGACTTCGTTGTAAAAAGCCATGACGACTTCCTTGGACGTGGCGGGCCCGTAGTATGCAGCTGGCAACAGTAATCCGTAGTTTGCACCAGCTTCGATTGCGTCGCTGATGTTCTCTAGGACCTGGGGTACAGAGAAACCGGAAATGCCGACCATGAGGGGGTAATCTGGTCCGACGGCTTCACGCGCGCATTTCATCAGTGCCCTCTTTTCGTCTCGTGTGAGCAAAAAGGCTTCTGCATTGGATCCCAGGATGACGAGTCCTGTGAGCCCGGACTTGGAGAGGTAGGTAAAGTATTGCTTTTGTGCAACGAGGTCCAGGGTCGCTGTCTCGCTGTCTGGTGTGAAGAAGGTGACTGCGGGGCACCACACGCCTGGTGCTGGTGGAGGCGCCATTGTGATGTTTGCTTGTGGAGGTTGATGTGTGTTGATAACGAGAAATTGTGTGATGCTGCTAATACAGCAGGGTGGATGTATTCAGGGAGCAGTGATGACTGTACTTCAACTGCTTTCTACAAGGAAACACATGGCATGTTGTGCTAAAGCTGATCTACATAAAGTGGGATGCTCATGCAGTGTCGGGGGTCGTTCCGAGATCCTTCAATAGCCGGATTAAGTATTCCGATTGTTCCGAAGCCAATCGCCGCGGCATCTTTTGAACATCGTTATCGCATTGTACATATCTTTGCCATGTTTGTTTGAGAAATGCAATGCACATGATTTGTTCTTTTCATCATGATTATCCCCTTGCAGATCTACTACAATGAACATGCCACATAGCCAAGATAAAGCATCCCATTGGCGTGCATTTTTTTTAAAGCTAAAAAGAGAGAAGCGTAGAGGCAGGCAGCACAAGGACTTTGTTCGCTTTTTTTTTTCTCGACGCAGAATTGCTTCAGACATGACTCCCTTAGATCAAGCAATAAGGTCTCGCATTCCATAAAACTGCGCTGCTGAGCCCATTAAGCCCAATACCCATGCTATGCATACCCGTATCCCCCATACCCGCTGTCCATTCATCCCGTGGTATCAATTCCCCTGCCTTTCCAATATTTTTCCCAGCCCCAAAGACTATTAGCATTATCGCTCTATATTACTGCCCCCCAAACATATCGGCAACGCCTGCAAGACCTGGGCTTGTTCCGCGAACAATAGCTGGCTGCTGATCAACAGTCATGTATTGTTCCATCATCGCCGTCCTAGTCTTTGCCTTTGGTCGCTGGATTTTGCCTTGCTCATGGATACTTACGCCCTTGATGCTACTGAGCAGATCCAAGACGATACTCCTCTGCATTCGCTCATCCTGACGGTTGGCACTTTGAAGTTTTGCGAGACGGCGGTCGACACGGGCTTCGTCACCCATGCCAGGTAATGAAAGGATGATGGAGCGCGGAATCTCATCGTCAAGATGGATGATACCAGCAATCAGTGATGCAAGTTCCTTCTGGCAATCGACAAAATACGGCTCATGTAGTGATGTGATGGCAGATTTGAGAATGTCGTTGCAGAAATAATCGCGGATCGGAGACTTTTCCTTGAAGCGCGGAAGAAGCATCCTCATGACACGCACAATGGTAATGACAGATCGGGTGTCTCTTACACGGATGGTAGAGTTACAGAAGAGGAGAATCGGCTCCAAGACCGAGGGTGTAGTGAGAATGAAATCGCACATTGGTGGCGCATTGGCTTCCTTGCGGCTTTGATCATCTTGCCGAGCAAACTCTGTTTGTACATGTTAGCACCAAGTTCTCTAATTTTAAGAAGCGGAAACAAGTAACCACGGTAGTGAAAACCCCTATACCAATGAAGCTTTGACCGCCCGTCCCACGCCTGCTCAGAAACGAAATCAAACTTACCCTGCCGTGAATCAAGCAGGACAGCGACAAGTGAGACCGAAGAGTATGTGAGCTGACGAAGGATACTTTCGGTCTTCATCTCATCCGTCAAGTTGTCATTATCCCCTGATTGCGCCACTTGGCGAGCAATCTCGCTCCATTCCCCAGAGATCTTCCTGTCTAGTTCCCTGAATAGCCCTTGAATCATAGGCGGTAAAAACTGTGACCGTAACTGTGACGGACACCCCTCGATAAGATGCGTAGATACGGTAAGCAGAACGGACAAGTGATGTGCGGTCAAGGCACCAGCGTGCCCAAAGAGAGCTTGGCTGAGTGGTCCTGGTAAGTCTTGTATACCGTAGAAGAAGTCTCGAAATCTTGTCAATGAGTAGAGTATGTAGTAAGAACTCTCTCTGATTTGTCGGACGGTGCCTCGAACTGTTGACGCGAAACCTTCGTATGTAGACTTGGAGCCGCTGACTTTGGCGAAGAAGTCATCTCTGCTTTCCGTCGAGATGCCCGCTTGCCAGAACCGATCAGTCAGGACACGTCGAATGACCTGCTGCAGTTCAACAGGCAGATGTGACCAGTTGCTGTCAATGTCGTTAAATGCTTGCGCATGGCTCACGAGCTGGAGAAGATTGGGAAGTAGCACGGGTATCGTCTCTGCCCACAATGCTGCAGCAGTCTCATATGCAGCAGTACCGTCTCGCAACTTCTCAGTCGATGCTGCAAGTAGCGTCTTGGTCAGTCGCAGCGGCAGTTGTTGAGATCGCTCAAGGATTGAGGCCTGCAGCCCTTGACCGTCACTAGGCAATTGTTGTTCAGACCAGTCCTGCACGCCGCGAAAATTGTTGGCAGACAAGAATTCAGGTAATTGACCCATACCCAGGATGTCGCAGAAAGACTGGAATGAAGAAATGGCTTTAGTAAACTCATCGTTCTGCCATGCCTCCTTGACGCGGTTCAGCATCTGTCTCATGCGCTCTGTTTGAATAGTGTGGTCTAATGTTGTACACCTGTGTATGATGATGAAAAGGAAAGCAGAGTATGCCATTCGTTGGCGTTCGTCAGTCGTGGGGTCATTGATCATCTCATTGATCTTTGCTTCTAATTGCTCGTAGACGTTCATAAAATCATCGGCGAACTTCATGGCTAGTTTCTGCATCTCCAAGCTGCATATGCGCTCTAGGTCCTTTACTGCTTCCGAGTACTGCGCATAGCTGGTATCATCCGCTAGACGTATGGTAAGCATGTACTCAAGGAAAGTTAGCGCAAAGCCAGGCCGGTCGCCAAGTGACTTGGTGGCAAGGGTGGCCATGAGTGATATGATCTTTCTTGCAACTTCAGGATCATCGAATCGCGCCTGTAAGATCTGGCGGCCCCATTGCTCTAGTGAGTCCTCTAGAACACTTCTCGTTCGCTCATCGGCTTGGGCATCCTCGCCTTGACTTTGCTGCCACTTCATGTAGCCTTTGAGAGCAGCCTCAATGACAGTGACTTGGGCGTCGACCTGAAGAACTTGGGGCGAGTTTTTGCTAAATGCCTGTGGTTGAAACGAGGGACGGTCGCGGTACAAGTTTTGCAGCATGTTGGTTGCCTGCGCGAGGATATGCTCCATGGCCTCAATCGGCGTCTTGCGCACGAGTACCTCGATTACATCTGCGCAGAATCTCCTATAGTTTCCTAGGAAGGCATGTCGTTCGGGAACAGTGTCAATGTCTTCATTCAAAAATTGCAACGTCACGTCTTCGGCATCTTCAGGAAGGGCCTCGTAGCGGATCAGTCGCGCACAGCATGTCTCGAGCAGACCTCCAACCATGGAGTTCACGACGTCAGACTCGCGGACAACGCTCGATCGCAGCAGTTTAGTCCAACAGTGAAGGACGGGTATAGAAACGACGAGACTTGGGTTGCGCATAATGTCGTACAGAAAGCCAAACACACCGGCGAGATCGCTGTTTTCTGGAATAGACTGGGGCTTTTGTTCAATGAACAGACCAAGGTTGTTTGCCAACTGCGGTTGTTAGCCATGGATGGACACGAGGGGTTGGATAAGATGGGAATTCTCTCACCTCGGACAGCCTCTTGCAAAGCATATATTTCTGGTCATCGATGTCATTGACGTCCATGTCCACGAGTGTCCAATTGTATACTTCCCGAAGGAGCGAGACGCTGCCTGGTGTAAACATGGGGCATACTAGCTCCACAAACTCGTCATCGTGTAAGTGCGTTCGGTTGTATATAGCTTGTAGGGTTTCGACTGCAGCCTAGGTCGTGTTAGTGACGGGTTTCGAGTGTTGGCTTGAGTGGCCATACAATCTGCATCTCAACTGCTGGTGTGGCCAGGGCCTTGCAGACAGCCTCGATGACCTGAGTAGCGGCAATGGCTTTGGGCATGACCCATGGCATGGCGGCTCTGAGCGCATGCATGGATTTGACAGCACTGGCTTTGACGTTTTCCTGGTTCTGGTAGTCCTGTCCCAAGCACCAATCCAGGTTTTCGCATAGCCTCGTCAACCAACCTTGGTCTCCGCACCGCAAATCAGGACCTTTTTCCCTAGTAGGAAGCTGCTCTTGTATAACAATCTGGGGCGTGAAGATCTCGACACAGGCCCGCCCCAGGTCGGTGCCTCGCAGGCCAGCGGTAGCATCTTCACGATTGAAGACCTCTTCGGAGAGGGTTTCGAGGATATAAAGTACCATGGCCTGGTGGTGTAATGAGTTTGTCCAGAGGGCTACCAATTGCTCATCCATGTCTAACCACTCTGCGCCCCAGCTGCGTTTGGCAATCTCTGTCCATAATTGGGCAATCTTGTTCCGAATGTAGACAGGGTCGGTCTCTGTGACGTTCTGCGCAAGCTCGATGGCATAGCCTCTCAGCGCGGTACCCTGGTCGACGGTGTAGTCCTCCCAGCCATACTTGATGGAGTGCTCGAGCATGGTGAGGCCATAGTAGCGCAGTTGCGCAGGCTGGGAGCGGTCGAGGGCGAGGGTGTGGCCGTGTGACGGGGCTTCGGGGTGACGCTTTGCTTGCTCGAGGTATTCGGTGGCCTGGCGGCGGGTCTCGTTGCTCGAGGTCGGGGCGTAGATGGCCTGCAGTGCCTCTAGGACCTGGGAGAGGTCTGAATGGGCATTGTCGTGGTGGTGCGCTCCGCTGCCGCCATTTGCTAGACTTGTTTGCGGGGCTTGGCCGTCGACCCCAGCATTCATCGTGGACAGGCAGCTTCTCTGGCCGCAGCGAGTGGGCGTGTGGCGTCAAGTGTGCGGAGTGGGTGGCGGAGCGGCGTGCGCGCGATGGAGGAGAGAATTGTCGACTTGGGGGGATTCTTTTGGACCTCACTGGTGTTTCGGGCGGAGGTTTCTGAAAGCGGAAGATGCACAGCACAGGACAAGGATGGGGCTTTGACAAGCTTTGGCGCGCACCGTCTGCAACAAACCACTCGAGATGGCGGTGTAGCGTGCAAGCAATCCGTCCAGGGCGCTGGATCCAGCTCGAGACGTGTGCCTGTTCGTCTACGCCGTGTGCAAAAGCAACTTCTCGCCCCAGCTTCACCGTCTGCGTGTGGCACCAACGCGCTCTGCTGCCTGCCTGTCGCACGCCCACGGCACGCGTCGACGCGCTGTCAGCTGCTTCACTGCAAAAAGCCATCACATCACCCCTCGGCTCTGCGCCCACACGCACACATTCTCACATCAAACCGTTTCCACATGCGCTCCAGACGCCTAGCAACCTACACAACACCGGCCAGCCTCATGCTTGCAAAACCACCACGCCCTGCGCCTTCACACTGACTGCGTGACCTGAGCGTCGCATGACAATTGCATCACCGCGCATTGGCCACGGGCCCCGCAACACCACAGCCACGCATCGTCGACTTGCTGCCCTTCGCTTACATGACTGCGCACGCCTGCTTCTGACACTGCTGCAGGTACCCTTCATCCTCATCCGTCCCTAGCGCACTGCCAGCTTTCCGCACTACTCCCCTGACCGTTATCGTCTGATCGCCTTCTGCATGCCACCACCGCAGTATCTGCTGCAATGCCCCGTCCGTTTCTTCCGAAGTAATCGTCCACTTGCCCCCGCTGACCTCGACACTTGTCTGGCCTGACGGGAAGTGGAACTCGGGCAGGTAGCACACCGTTGGAACATCCTCTGATGTCGAACTTGGCGCGCAGAGCGCAAGCTTGAAAGTGCAGTTCCTGAGGTCAAACCCGTAAGACGAAACGTCTCCGTGCACTGCTACAGGTGTAGGGCGGATAAAGGCTTCGGCGGCCCGAAGTCCAGCCATATCGCCCTCGGTTCGTGTCGACCTCATTTGCTCCACCGAAACCGTCTTCTGCAGGTTGCTGGGCGTGACGCTGAGCGTATCCGACGACTGAGCCCGCGAATATGTCGGTGAATTCTTGTCGAGCGATGCGCGAGAGTCTTCTGGTGAAAACGGCCCTGCTGGCACTGCCTTGTCGTCCAAGGAAAATATTGATAGATCCTCGCCGTTCCACTGGTCACCCCAATAATGACAGTTCTACATCCACATTAGTTTTGCAACACCCATAACTGCACTCCGACTTACATTGACAACATAGGTCCATAGCGCAAACCCATTGGCCATGCTGTCTTCAAGCGCAAAGTGGTTGGCATCCAGTGCCGCTATCTGGCTACTGTAGTTGCCCGTTTTATACGCATACTTGTCGTCCATGTCGTACGGTATGCCAATTTCAGTAAAAATGCAAGGGTGCACTCCCATATATTCAGTACCTTCCTCTCGGATCGCCTTGAGTTGATGTGAGAAGCAGTTTCGAATGGCAGTCTCTCCAACCTTGATGGCGAACGCCGGCGTCAGATATTTTCCTCGCAGCACCCCAAAAACATCCACGTTCCACACTCGGTTCCTACACCATGTTAGATAGAGCCACCAAGTAACAACCATTCAAACACACCATTTCTTCGTGATGAGAGTTATGCCGTCGTAGTAATGAGGTGAGAAGATGATATTGGGATCATCGTCCTCGGTACCCTTGATGTTTGGAGGTATCTCAAGCACCGGAGGCTGGAAGAACATCAACGAGTCTGGGAAGATAGACTTGACCATTTTGCTGTAAGCCCGGTAATGAGCCAGCCAGTAGTGGTTTGTAAAGTATTCGTAGTTGATCTTGGCGCCATTCTTGGGGTCGATTCCAAAGTAGTCCTTTTTCAGCACTGTGTCGGTCTCTGGGTCCCATACCCCATGTTGCGCCCACAAGCACTCACCCAGCCGCCACCCGGCGTCACGCTTCCAGCCGTACTTGGTGTCATCGTAGTCTTTCGACAGCCATGCTTGTGTGCCCTCAGGATCTACTAAAACCGATCCACTCTTGTACGGTCCCAAACCACCAAAGTCCCAAGTCGCGATCTCACAAGCCCTGCCAGATCCGGTGAGTATTGCCTGCCAAGCTGTCGGCGAGGTCCCCTTCTGTAGCTTTTGTTCGCTAGGAATCTGTGTAATGTCTTGATAGCTGATGAGGCCTCTGTTGGGCTCGTTTATGCTTTCCCAACCAATTACCGGGTCGTGCCAGAGGTCCCCAGCTTCGTGTATACGCTTCGCAAGGTGCTCACATGCGCCGATAAAGTGCTCTTGCAAGTAGTCCTGTATGTTTTTGCCGTCTATGATGGCCTTTGGGGCAAAGTCCCTGCCACCAAAGAACAGAGTCCACATGACTTGACATACCAGGCGGGTGTAGTTGGTCGTCCAGATCATCTTGGGGTAGGTCGCAGGGTCTGGGTACGTGTTATGTACGAGGGCAGCTTCAGTAACCGCAAAACGCTCTGGATCCAGACCGCAGGCATAAAGAGTCCACATGGGTGCCCCAGAGCCTCCAGAGAATCGTGACCACTAGGTGACATGTTAGGACAGAGACATTCAAGTACATTGGAATGCTACCTACGACATCCTGGTGGGGATCCATGAATATGTAAAAGCCATACTCTTTGGCCTTTCGTAGCACAGCAATGGTGTGATCTATCCACTCTTCGTCGTACTTTCCCGGTCCAGCATGCTCTATCGCCTCCCAGGTGAAGATGTAGCGGATGGTGTTGTACCCCCAACTCCGTAACCGCGAAAAGTGTGTTGCCGCATCTTCCACGGAAAATGGTCGGTTCACAAAAGAAACGTTGTCTCCATCGAAGAAGTTATCAGGTATATGTGAGGGTTGGTTAGGATTCGCAGGGAACTTGGCATCGGCGGCACAGTTGATGCCATGCAGCGTTACTTCGCGGTTATGGGAGTCGCGGAATGTACGTCCATCGATACGCAGGCGAATGTCAGACATTAGTGAGGTAGATATACAGAGCACGGCAAGTCGTAGGCAGAGTGCAAGGGTAGGAGAGGCGCACAGTGAGGATAGAGCGGAGTATGGAGATAGGCCAACACTAGCCCGCCCGTGTCCACATGCATGACGCACCACTAGCGTACCTGGAGTGCTTGGGGTCCAAGGATCGAGGTGGCCCCTGCACCACCGCCTCGACATCAGGACAAGTTGCATGAACGAAAATAACAATCGCATATATTACCCTTCACCCTGTTTCACTCCTTCGCTCATGCCTAGATAAACTGCTTCTGCCGCTGCCACCTTGCGCGGAATATCCCTCTCTCAGGCCCAAGCCTGCCTACAGTCTCTCGTTACCTGTACATTCGCCACTTCACCAACATCGCAACATGATATTTCGACTTTCCTCGTTAGCCCTCGGGCTGCTTCCTCTCGCAAGCGCCCTGTCTGCCGCTGACATTCCTGCGGACACGCCCGTGTCGCAGCTGGTTAAAGATGCCACTGTGCAGATGGCGACTGGAAACACCCAGGATGCCCTCACCTACTTCGATGTAGCCATCTCCCGTGACCCGCGCAACTACCTCACCTACTTCCGACGTGGCGCTGCCTACCTCCAAATTGGCAAAACAATTCAGGCAGAGCAGGACTTCAACAAGGTGCTGGAACTGAAGCCTGGCTTCGAGGGCGCATTGGTGCAACGAGCAAAGATAAGAGCAAGGAAGGCTGACTGGGCTGCGGCGCGCAAGGACTACGAGGCAGCCGGTAAGCCCGATGAAATCGCCCAGCTGGAAGAAGCGCAGGCTGCGGCTCTTATCGCACAAGAGGCTGCTGAAAAAGGCGACTGGGACTCCTGCATCACCAATGCAGGCGCTGCCATCGTGGTCGCAAACGGCGCATACGATATCCGCAAGACAAGAGCACGCTGTCGCTTCGAGAAGGGTGAGGTCGTTGAGGGTATCAGTGACCTACAGCACCTCCTTCAAATCAACACGGGTGATATTGAGCCTCACCTTCAAAGCTCCGCCATGGCCTTTTACTCCCTCGGCGAAACCGACAAGGGAATCAAGCACATCGCCCAATGTCTTCAATCAGACCCAGACTCCAAGGCATGCATGAAGCTGCGTAGGAGAGAAAAGAACCTCGAAAAGGATATCAAGAAAGTGCGCAAATTTTTCGAAAAGCGCCAGTACGCCACCGCATCAAAACTCCTCATTGACCGCGGCGAGTCAGACCCAGGTCTCTTGAAGGAGGTCAAACAAGACTTCAAAGACTACACCGAAAAAGGCTACATCTACGCCAACTCCCCACAAGGCCTCTATCAGAACCTCGTCGAAATGACCTGCGAAGCCTACGTCGAAATGAACAACCTGAAAAAAGGAACCCCTTACTGCAAAGAAGCCCTCCAACTCAACCCCAACTCCCTCCACGGCCTCATCCACAAAGCCCAAGGCCAACTCGACGCCGACGAATTCGAAGACTGCATCCGCACCCTCGAACTCGCAGCCGAACACCACCAGCACCAGAAGATCGACGAGCTCCTCCAAAAAGCCCGCACCCTGCTTAAGCGCTCAAAAGAAAAGGATTACTACAAGGTCCTCGGCGTGACCCGCGATGCCGACGAGCGCGAAATCAAGAAGGCGTATCGCAAGCTCAGCAAAATGTACCACCCGGACAAGGCCTCCTCGAATAACATGACGCCAGAGGATGCGCAGAAGAAAATGTCGGATGTCAATGAGGCGTACGAGGTCCTGTCTGATCCGGAGCTCAAGGCGCGATTTGATCGTGGTGATGACCCCAATAGCAATGAGCAGCAGCATGGCAATCCCTTCCAGGGCTCGCCATTTGGCGGCCAGCAGTTCATGTTTAGGCAGGGTGGTGGCGGTGGTTTCCCCGGTGGAGGTAGCTTCAAGTTCCAGCAGGGTGGTGGGTTCCCTGGTGGAGGTTTCCCCGGTGGCTTTCCCTTCTAGATTAATTCATCTTCTTATCTTCTACTCATTTACACTTTTTTTTCTGCCGCGAATTCGCTATTTTCAAGTTTCTGATTTTAAGCGTTGTGTTTTTTTTGAGTGCTGGTGGAGGTTATCGACTAGAGCATTTTGGCGTTTTTTTTATTTTGTGATATCATGGTAGCGAACTGAGAGATGAATTCATGGTTTTTATGGTGATGTGATTTGTTCTTTTCATTCTATTGGAAAAGTCGATCTTACGGTCTACTCCGATACACCCGCCCCGTGCGAGGATGGCCTTGTTTACGTCCTGTTTCGCTAAGAACTTTGCCTCCGCCTTGTACTCTCATTAGGCAGCTCTCCACAGCAGCGCCTATCAAGCCTGTCTTTGATGTCCTAAGGTTCCTTCAGCAGCAAGCTTACTCCTCCCCCCGTCCGCTGTGACCCTCTGCCTCGTCTTAAATTTGACGTATCTCCCCTCCATCCTTTCTATCTCCTCTCCAACAACCTTGATCACAGCTGATGGGCAGAACAGCAGACTTTCTCCAAGCTTCAGCCGAACAATCTCGAGAAACAATTCTGTATCATCCTTAGCCCCCTCTACCTTTTCGTCCCCACTTGCGCCAGCCTGAGAAGACGTCGGCAAGTTCAGATAAAGAGCTGCAACGTGTCGCTTGAGCACGTTGAACCATGCAGGACTTGTACACCTGTGCACCATTGTGATACTGCACAGGTCCAGCAGCTGTGTATTAATGCTAGGTTCCTGGGTCGCAATGACAACTCTGACGGCTTGATGTCGCTGTTCACGCACTGTCCGCAACAGCTTCTCGGTGAAGGCTTTAGCCGCACCACTGCCTTCCGTCATGTAGTTGTGCGCTTCGTCCAAGGCGACAATTTTTCCACACTGTGTCTGCTGAATAAATACAGAGAGGCAAATATCGAAGAGCACGCAAGCAGAATCAGCGTCGATGACGGGATCCGTCAGGTCTACAATGGTGAGAGAACCTGGAGTACCAGTGAGGAAGTCGTTTTCGGTATTCGCCAGAGTGCTAGAGCCCTTTTTTCTATCTTTCATAAATGATTCCAGCAGGTCAAGGCGAAGTTTCATAGGACCATCTTGGCCGCTAGTAAACTTGGTAGCTGACAGCTCGTTCTTGAAGGTGATGTAGTCAAAGGTTCCAAGACCTTGTGATTTGATCGCCATTTTGCGAAGAATCATGAGTATTGTCTAGTTCGGTCAGCGCATTTTCGTTAGGAGAGGAGAACGGAAACGGGCCTGCATGTACAACGGCACCTCATCCTCTTTCCCTACAGCCATCAAAGTCTTCATCCTCTCCGTATCAAGGTATTTTGGCAACACATAGAGCTGTTTGACAGAAATTTTTGCATTCTGTTTCGCTGCCATAGCTTCATACGCTCTCTTCAGCCTACCATAGTTGCTCGGGCTTACAAGAACAGTCGTCGGAATGTTGGTGCAGAGATAGGCGGCCTCACAAACTCCGCTGCCCTGGCACCGATCGTAGTGAAACACCAGTCCGGCAAGTGGGTGAGGATTTAACCCTACTCGAGGGAGGATCGTTTTGTCGGTCAAAAGACAGTTTTCGAGCATACACGATAGAGTATGCGATTTTCCAGATCCTTGAGAACCGCAGAGGAAAGCAGACCAGGGCGAATCGGTGTTTAGCAAAACCGGGCTTCGTGTTGCGCTACTAGAGACGGATGAGTCGTCTTGTGGTCTATTGTTAGCCTCTGGAACATGGCCCAATACTGCGTAGCCACGTTGAACCTGTTGTTGGGGCTCAACGTGCTCCTTCACATTCCACCAAACCAGGGGTGCCATTCGAAGTTCTTCTACCATTGGATCGATTGTATTCGTTTCGTCAGGGCCAGTGTTTTGACGATCTCGGAGTACCGATTGGTAACGGATTAGTTCTGGTACACCTGCCATCTTACCAAATGTTACATGTGATAGAGAACAGCTACCACAAGACTTCGTGCAGTGATATAGTCCAAAGATGTCTTGCTTTACAGCAAACTAAGATTAGTTTCTCCCATCTTGTATTTGTGAAAACCCCAGCGGTCTTTGAAGCAAACTAAAATTGAACGACATAGGAAACATTGTGTCAGACAACGTCTTGACCGAACACGCTAGACTTGAGTTGAAGACCTCTTAGGCGGTTCGAGACGTGTGAAGCTGGTCCTAGAATGGCTCGGACTTCTAGAATCACGATAGCCGTTGATTACAACAGTATCTCGATAGCTGTCGAACGCAAGGAGAAATAGCCATGCGTTGTTATCTGACTCGCTGCGACCTGCTGAAAACAGATAATTTTTCGGCAGGTTTGGTGTGAGAAAATCCGTGACTGGTAAATTGCGTCCCTCCAGCGCTCCCATTTTTGTGGGTTTGCAAGGCTGTTATGAATCTATCATAATCAAGTGGTAGATGCTCCTGAAGAAGACCAGCATTGGACACGTATCGCAGTTTTGTTGACTAGTCCTAATATTGATTGCTTCGTCACCGCCGTCAATTAACTGCTTAGCAATACCTCCTTGTTTATTGACGATTTTGAGAACTACTTGAGCGCTCAGGGAATGTGTAGAGAGCGCAACAAAGGAAAATCGATTCCCCAGGCTCTTGAGATAGTTCTGACGTAGGAGCGAGCATGCTGGGAGACCCGTAGTATGAAGCAGGAGATATTCGGAAATGAGCCTGAGCTCACCGACCAGCGCTTAGATAGACAAAGCGATCCGCCCCCGTGACCGTCTGAGACACATGACCGCCCAGTACCAAGACTTCTGATTCATTTCGGAATTCCCTAATCGGTAGTATGCACGGTAGAGCAGGCAGGATGAGAATATAAGTAGTGCAACATGGGGTGACTTAAATCTCTTTACTAGGTCTGTAAGCTAGTTCCCTTGTCCAGGCTTTTTTCACTCCTTAGCTTTTATGGCTCTTCCTTGCTTTATCTGCAATCACATGAAAAGAGGCAGTCCCACCAAACATGCAAAGCTCACGAAAAAAAGGTCTATAAGCACCTGTATCCTTTACAATCGATAATTTTGTGAAAGCCACAAAGGTGAACCAGATGGAACTTGCGAGATCAATCATACAGCATACCACAAGAACCGTCCAGACTTGGATGATATATATTCAACGCTAGAGGCGAGGCATGGGATTGTAAGTCCGCTGCCTAAAATTAGAAAAATTCATACAATTTTACCAGTAGGTTAGGTTGGCTAAAGTAGTGTACATACGATGACGTATTGAACGTACAAATAGGATCTTGACGATTCCCTACGTTGAAACGTTTGCCATAAGGGGAAGTTTAACGAAAACCATGGCGACAGAAGTCCCATCACAACCCCAAAGTGTGTCGAGTTTCTTCTCAGGCACTTTCCTTCAAACTAGTGTCGACATTGTTCCCATCAGCAACTGCTCCCTCACGGTAGGACTCAGGCTGAGTAGCCCAGGGTGGAACTTTGTTACGAGGTGGTGAACGCACAGCAACCAAAGCCGTTATCAATTCTTCAAGGAAATCAGTTCCGCGAAAACAGGAGAGAACATCAAGGTTAAGCCGAGGAGTTATATGGTATGCGCAGATGTCAACCACGAGGCGGCGCGCTGGTGAGCCTTTGGGAGTGCCTTCATAAATGATCTTGATACCGTCCGCCGTGAGACGAAACCCGAAGTCACCATCAAGCCCCTTTACTATGAAGTCCAGGACCGTGTTCTTAAACGTTTGGTCCATCAACTTCTCGCCAAGGACATAGAGTTGACAAATGGATGTGCACGTGGACAAAGAGTTGTCACAACAAGCAATTTTGCCTGAGTAAAGCCATTGGCAGTAAATTTCGACGGCTTTGGGGTTCTCTTCAGACAAATCGATTGGACGGTTCTTGTCGGCACGCCATTCTGGCTTCATGGCATTCTTAAGAAAATCCGAGGTAGATGTAAGGACCTCTCTATGCACATGAATCTGGCCACCTTGAATTGATATAGGGACAGTCTCGCCCATGATGCTGCAATCCTTAGTAAACCTTTGTTTTGTTGATATTCTTTTGGCGCAAATCACGTACGACGGTGGTTCTTTCTCGGTTTTGGCCATGGTTCGCGCGCGCTTTGTCTTCGGCGCCTCTGATGTCCCAGACATTTTGAACTGGACCCGCCGTAGTGTATCGTCAGCACCAGACAACCATCTGTTGTTTGCGGTAAAGAATTGAAAATACTTACAGTCGTAATAGCAGACGCTTCGCCTTCTTCCAATACGAGACTTCACAAGTGGGGCAAAAGGTTGCTTGAGAGTAAGTGGACGCGGGGAGCAGGTCTTTTCCCAAACTGGGCTAACATATAGTAAGTGAGGCGCTAGCGGGATACAAATGTGAAAGTGAGGACCAGTCGCCATGACTCAATGAGAGGTGAAAGCAGTATCAAAATCAGATTCAGCGAAGGTACTCGAACATCAAGTGAAGTGAAGTGGCTCAGATTCTCAAGAAGATTTAGAGTGAGGTGGGTTGTTACGTCAAAATCAGTAGTCAACAAAGGAAAGTGCGACCATAAGCAAACATCCAACTATACACTTTGCAGTGAGGAAGCTTTACGTGAATGCACGCAAAGTAGCAGTTGAGAAAAGCATGCCAAATCCCTCTGAACATCGTAGGGCAATATTTACATTGATTACACACGCAATGTTTTTTTGATAAATTAGCTTCATATATCGAAGCCACTACCGGGAGTTGAATCACAGTATTCTATGTGATTCACTATCTACAACTTTCTAGCAGTGATAAAAACGCCAAAGACAACCCTTTGGGATTTGATGGTAGTGGACACTTAGTTTGCCTCACCAAAATCGCTATGTCCGGTCTCCGTTGCATGCTGAATCGCTCCTCGTTCTCCAGCTCCCTTCCAGCCACACGTATTGCACTTGATATCGAATTTCTGTGTATCCGTGTAGTAATGCTGCTTTTGCAGCTGGCGGCAGAGTTCCCGTGCAGCCTCGAGGATGACATCATCGTTGGCATCAAAAAGCTTGATGTCTTGAGAAGGATCTTGAGGCGAAACACCCTGTGGAACCAGAGCTATAGTGTCGTAATGAATACCAGAATATACAAGGATACAGCGGCGCGGCCGGCCCTCGTTGAAGCGATCTACTCGGTTGTCCTGCACATTGACACTGGCTATCTCGATATCGAATTCTTGGGATAGAATACTAAGCTCGATTCCACCACCCCACGAGTCTGAGTATGATATCCATTTGCAGTATTCGTCGGGAGACCGTTGCAAGATTGCCTCATTGTACTGCTCGGGGTCTCTTTGTATAGCTTGTGCGACCATCGACCTGAGCTCGGTCATGGCATCCAGCGAGTCGGAGAGAACGGCACTTCCAAGAGCTCGGAACATGCACGAGTTATCATCCGGCATCACTCTCAGGACAATGGTGCCAGCACGGTCGGGCACAGGAACTTCGGGAGTGTCTTTGAGTGCCGAGTTCTGCTTGCGTTGTAACGATAGGGGCGCTGATTGAGATGTAGCAGACTGAAGTTCTTGTTCTGCTTTCCGTTCACTTGGATCGCCAGTAGCTTTACCAATGACGATGATGGATGCGCCATTAAGTTTAAGGTCGATGTCTTTCAATAGCGTAGACATTCCGTATAGTGAAGGATCGAGCGGCTGGGGTGGGTGGTTCCATTTTAGTTCGAAGAGTGGGAGTTCCGTCTTCTCGCTGATAGATGATAGAAGGTCGGAAACGGCGGCATTATCGTCGAGGGAGAGGGTATGGGTGCCGTTGGGCGCTCGTAATCGGAGGCGAATGGGCATGGCGATAGAAGTCGGTACTGACAAGTGCGAAATAAAAATGCGCAAGACTATGTGATGTGAGGTGACAACTGTTGCAAGTATAAGAGCCCTGACGGCGTGGAGTGGTGGAAGTAGTGGGGCGCTTTGGCGGGACGCAGCCGGTGCGGTTGTCACAAGTAGTAAGTTGCGATGGGCGAGTGAGTAGAAGGCAGGTGGAAACGAAGTTTCTTCACGCAGGAGCAGGCACTGTGAATGTTATTGTAGGGAGAGCATATGTAGTTTGTCAGCTACGGCATTATTCGCTAGAAGCGACAGATGGCGCGAACAAGTGGCATGGCGCAAGTGAATGTTCGGGAACCCAAGAGTTGGCCGAGGCGGAGATGTGCGACAGGCATGCTCGGATAATTTTAACACCGGCACCGCTGCTCTCCAGTCGCGACTTTGTATCCACGACGCGACAACCCCAACACCAAAGAAGGGAGACGACGGTGCAACACCACAACACCAGGTGTTCCATCGTAACAATGGCGTCCGCACGCGCGCCGAGCTCAACGCCGGTTCCCACAACCGAGACGGCTGAATCCTCTGGGGCAACTTCCACTGTGACGGAGCAAGAATGGGAGGCTATGGCCAACTTGCTGAAGAACGTCTATGACTACAGGATTGACGAGTTAGTAGTTGATCTGGACGAGCTCATGCGCTGTTGCTGACATATCCTCAGTGGCACCTATGACCCCACAAAACTCTTCCAGCGCAAAGTGAACAAGCGCGCCGTGCCCGACTACTACGACATCATCAAAGAGCCCATGGCCCTCAGTACTATCAAATCCAAGATCGGACAGAAGGAATACAAGAACTTTTCCGAGTTCGTCCGCGACTTGGCTCTCATACCCCACAATGCGCAAGTGTACAATAGACAGGACTCGCAGGCCTATGTCGATGCGCTCGAAGTAAAGAAAGTCATTGAACGCGAGCTTAAGCGCCTCGTTGACGACAAGATCGTATCTGAGGATATTGCGACTCTGCCTTTTCTGGGTGAGATTCCGGAACAGGACCCGTTGCTACCAGAAGACGAAGAGGAGGAAGAGGAGGAAGACGATGAGGAAGAACTCGAAGTTGATGAAGAAGATGATGACGAGGACGAGGAAGACGACGGGAAGCGCAAAAGGAGAAGGCCTGCGCGGTCCGCAGCAGCTAACGCTAGGCGCGAAGGAGGCTCAAGAGCAGCAAAGGAGGACGCTAAAAACGACGATCCAGAGTCCCGCAAGAAACGTGGACGTCCGCCGCGGGTTGATACGCCTATGGAGGCACGAATCAAAGCTATCATGAAAGCTATCCGGAAGCCTCGCAATCAGCAGAACAAGCTCATGGTTAGCGCATTCGAGCGCGTCCCTGACAAGACGGTCATGCCCGAATACCACTCTGAAATCAAGAACCCTATGGCCATGGACATTTTGAAGCGCAAGCTCAAGCGGAAGAAGTACAACTCGGTAGATCACTTCATGGTAGATGTGGAGCTTATGTTTGAGAACGCGAAGCAATACAACGAGGAGGATAGCCAGATTTACAAAGACGCTGTGCACCTTCAAAAAGAAGCGCGCAAGGTTGCAAAAGCTGAGAAAGAGAAGCCAGACACCGAGTATGTCATGGAAGAAGGACGCATACCCATGCCCAGCGGCATCGTTCATAACGGAGAGTTGTGGAAGGTTGGCGATTGGGTCCACATTCAGAACGCGAACGACCTCACAAAACCCATTGTAGCTCAGATTTATCGTACATGGCAAGACGCTAGTGGTGGCCAGTGGGTGAATGCCTGCTGGTACTACCGTCCAGAACAGACTGTGCATCGTTTCGATAAGCACTTTTTCGAGAACGAAGTTGTCAAGACTGGCCAGTATCGAGACCACCGCATTGACGAGGTCGTAGATCGCTGCTTCGTCATGTTCACAACAAGATACAACAAGGGCCGCCCGCGCGACTTTCCCTCTGACAAAGAGATCTACGTTTGCGAAGCCAGGTACAACGAGGAAAACCACAAGCTTAACAAGATCAAGACCTGGGCTAGCTGTCTCCCTGATGAAGTACGAGACAAGGACTACGTTATGGACTTGTTCGATGCGCCGCGAAAGCTAAAAAAGGTGCCTAGTCCGATTGCATACCTTCTCAAGGATGACCAAAAAGAGGACGACGATCTCCCAAAGCCAGAGTGGGGTGCTGAAAATGCGCCTCCGAAGATTGGCGCTGTTCATCGTCGTCCACGCGACCCAAAGGTAAGTTATCGGAGTTTCACATCACCACACACTCACTCATAATAATCACAGGATTCGCCACCTCCCAGACCCACTCCACCGCCATCTCCAACACCACCACCTGCGCCTGTGATGCCAACTCCAAGCTTGCCTACTCCTTCGGCGCATGGCTTCGAAGCATCAAGAAACTATCCTATAGCTCAGCCGCCTGCCCTCACCCCAATGCCTGCACCAACACCACAGCAACATCATGTGCCTCCCACGTACACTCCGACTCATGCGACACACTATCATGCTCATTCTCAGTCACCCGCACCGCATATGCACCATCAAACTCCCCAGGTACCTGCTTACCAGCCAATAACATCACATGTTCCCTTCACGCCTCAACCGACAGCACCTATGCAGTCCTTCCAGACGCCGCGACCTACTCCAGGCTACCAACAACCGTACCTCCAGCAGATGCCTCCCAACTACAAAGCACCGCAACCCGTTGAAGTCTATGTCATGGCCGATCACGCGAACAATAGCATACCGCTTGAAATCCGTGAGCAGTTCCAATGTGATGAGAAGGGTCGCGTGCTCTTCTTCACCGCTCCTCCACTCAACATCGAGCAGCCACTTACCAAGGACGGACGCACAATAGGGCATTCAGCTCGCTACCTGGCAGCTAAGGCAAAGAAAGAAGCTATGAAGGCTGCGAAGCGTAAGGCAGGGGAAGCCAGTATTGACGAAGCCAAGCAAGCAGCCAAGAGAGCGAAGGCGGTTGAGGAAGTTCAATTCAAGAAGGCCGTCTCCGACCTGAATACCAAGGCACTAAAGGCGCTAGAGGATCAACTCGCAGTGGCTACAAAGTCTGATCTTGCAACTTTGTTCAATGGCCAGACTGAGGAGGGAATTGCAAAAGTTCTGGATCAGCTTACTCTTGTCCAAAGTGCGACAGTGCAGAAGGAGTTGGAGCGCGAGCTGCATGCCTTGGAGAAGGAGGAGAACAGACGTGTAACAGTGACAGGTATGACGGCCAGGCTGGAGGAGAAGTACTAAGGGGACTATTGTACGATTTGCTGTGCTTCTGATATCTATTGTATGCCTAAATGGAGAACGTGGCGTTTTTTTGTATTCTAGGCTCAAAGATTGTTCTGGGATACGGGGTATTATTCTTCCATGGGTAACAGTCGACTCTTAGTTGAGATATTTGGGGATACTCTATGATAGGTCTATTAGAACAGGCTCTCTTTCTCCCGACTTTGCTCTCTGATATTCTTCCCACGTCTCGCGGCGCAAAGCCACTTCGTTCCCGTATTCCCTCGCCTTTTGCAATATAAACTCGGCATCCGGCCACGGTACTTTCTCTTCTACCAAGGCCGGATCGGCTCCGTTTTCAAGAAGAAATCTGACACCTGACAAGGGTCTATCACCGGTACCTCGGTATCCCGTCTTTGCAGCATGACAGAGAGCAGTAGTGGGCTTCCCGTCCAGCGGCACGCCATCAACCCGCGCGCCATACTGTAGCAGTACACGCGCGAGGTCGTAGCGCTGACAATACACGGCCCATCTCAGTGGAGTTTTTCCGCCCGAAACATTCGGATCGATGTACTCGCTCTCGATCAGGAACCGTAGAACAGATGGCGTAGCGTAGCTGTAAGTATACAATATCTCACTCTTAGTCAGACCACCCCCATACTTTTTCCGTTGCTCCAGTATCTCGCGTACAAAGCCCCTATCCGGATATTTTACCGCCTCCTCGAATAATCGGTGCGTTCCAAACCGTCTGCACGTTCTTACATTCGGTCCGGCGTGGAAGCGATCGAGGAAGATTTTGCCCGTCTCCCACTGACCCATTCGCATTGCGATGCACAGCGCGACCCAATCACTCAACTGCGGGATCAGCTGCACAATGCAGCGCCGGCTGACCTCGCCGTAGGATTCTTTGAAGGTCTGGGCGGATTCGAGTTGCAGGATTTGGCGGACCAGGTCGGCGTTGCCGCATGCACATGCTGTTTCGAGAGGGCTGGGGAGTGCAGACCGGCCTACGCGGAGAATGGCAGGATTGTCTCGAGTTTGCTCTATCAGGCGCGAGTTTTGCTTTGTTGCGGCGAGGGCGGAGGGCAGGGTGAACGTTATAGTTGGCCACGTTTGGGTCATGGGAGATTTTGAAAAGAGCAGGTAGCGGAGGCCTTTAGCGTTTCTGCTGGATAAAGCGCGGCAGATTTCCATGGTGTGTTTTTTGCGCAGGTCATCGGTCACGGGGCCTTCCTCGAGGTTCAAAACGGCATCCACCAAGTTTCTCAGGTACTTGATGGCTGGTAGCGAATCATCTTGCTGTCTGCGGAGGACCTCGTTTCCGATTATGGTGCTACCATGCTGCGCGAAGAGTTTGTCAAAGCGTTCATTGTCAATACAAATGGTAATGTGACGGTCTGCCGGGTCCCCAAGTTTGCGCCTATCTTCGGAATATGCGATGAGTGGTTGGCGCTTGAGGATTTGTTCCTGGATTTCATGTGCGAATAGCCCTATGTAAATTAGCGGGTCATGTACTTGTAGTGATTTGATACAGGTACTAGTACGGCAAACAAGGCGGTATTGTGAAGCAAAAAGTGGGCTGACATCGCTAACAAGATACCCGAAGATGCGCTCCACAAGTTCGCAGGGAAGTTCGATGATTGTCATGCTGAGTTGGTGTCTTGGTTCAAGATGGTGTATATGTGTTTTGCATATTGGCTAGCTAGGGCAGCCCAACGGCGGGGCACATGACCTGGTCCCTCCCCGGCCTGTCCAAATGACTGATCATGACTGATCATTACAAAGCGGTGAGGCCCGAATACTCAAGATCTAAGAGATTGCCTTCCGAATTCGACTTGATGCTTATCTAGGGGTACATCGTGACATATCCAGCTGCACCGAGCACATATCAAGGAGTTATGGTACACAAACAGATGACGTTTGGTTTACACTGAGAACGCCTTTGTACTGCTAAAACACGTTTCATTGATGCCAAGGGAGCCATAGGCTGCATGCATGCTTCTTGGAAAACCAAAATAGCAGCATAAAAAGTACCCCTGCTATAATAGTGCAACTCCTTAACAACACCAACATCACGCACTGGTTGGCTATTAAAATTGGGAAAATGATTAATTACCTACTAAGTAAGACTCCTACATCCTTCGAAGATTGTACAGCACTACTCACAGTGATTCTTGCTGTAATTTGAGCTGATAATGAACTCAGTTTTCTCCGGCTACATGCTTCCTCACGGCTACTTGCTTCCCCAAGAGCCATGTCAGGCTAGCGTCTCCTTGACGTGAAGAGCACGAACACTTGCAACCACAAGGTAATTGCAGATGAGCATGAGCGTAACGTTTTCAGTCTTTATGAAGACAAGTTACTCAGAAGGTATCAATGCTTCATACAGAATGAAATCAACTTAGACATCTAGTCGTGACAGGTCTGGGCGAACAGAACTTGAAAAGAGTCAATTCTCTTGTCCTGCACGTGCCGGGGCTCTGAGCTTCGCCATGCATGACGCAAAGGATAATAACAAAGTAGAAGAGCGAGAAGGTCCAGAGAAACTTCTAGAGACTGGTGAAATAGTTGCTTGTGGTATAAGCTGAAAATAAGGTTTCTCAATGATATCATCGTCTGGTTTCGCTACCCGTGTGAAACTCAATATCATAAGCCGCAGCTTCTAGCGCGGCCCTGGTATGAGCGTTGAGGGACAGCAGTGAACAAACTTTAAACTATACACGCAACCTGTCTAGTACAGGCTTGTAAAGACCACTAACACAAAGCTAGCCTACCTAGTAATGCATAAGAAAATGGTTGGTGTACTGGATGATACAACTACAGAACTTTAGTTATTAGCGCACGCGCTAGAAGCAGACAGCCTTACGACTTGTAACGACAGAATAACCTTTCGCTGAATTATTGTCCGCAGCCTAGTGTTAGCTTGCCAACAATAGCTTCTAGGATGTACCCGGCGATGCACCCAGGATCAGGCTGTCTGAGCTTAGCGAACTGCGGATAGAAAGGGATGTGCCTAATCTTTCACATTTACAGAGATAGCTTCAAAGTGTTCATCCAAAGAATCGCTGTGAAATTGAACATCCCGCCTGCAACTCCCATTGTACATGTTAAAGCTTTGTACATTGTCACTCAAGCTGACATCTGACATCTGTAAACGCCAGTAGCGGTGTGGCGATGATATCTATATTATTACATATCTTAGATGCAACTAAAATAAGCTTAAACCTAAAGCCACAGGGCTGAGAACTTATCCTCCCCGTTTCAGTCTGGTCTGGTCGAGTCGATCGTAACCGACAGATGGTGAACCATGGCTAAAATTGAACAGCAGATGCACTTGGCATGTGTCAGCAAATTATTAGCGATGGATGATAGGAAATGATACAAAATGCAAATGCAATCAATCTGCGTCTTCGATCTTTGAAATTTAGAATTTGGGCTACAGCGTCAGTATACAGCCTTGGACCGCTACAGAAATGAGATAATGTAGCTTTAAGTTTGCGTTACAGGAGGGCTGCTATATAAAGTTTGGACGTTTGAGTGCACTAGGAACACAGAATGTCAGTGTCGTGAGGTCACAGTATCAACGCTTTGATTAGGCACTCCATAGTCAAGAAGAAATTGCTGCAAACGCTAGAAGCGGTAAATTAGTTCTAGAAGCTTGAGAATCAGACCAGATCATGGATATGATAGAGACAGAAAGAGGTACTTAAACAGATGAAAGATCCTCCTTTTTAGAAGAATCTCACAGTCACTCATTCAGACACTCACTCAACAACCATCCACTCCTTCCACTATTCTCATTTCAAAAAGCAGACTCAGTTTACCTTCCAATCTTTCAAAATGGTTCAAATAGCTTCCCTCTTTACCCTCCTTGCCGTGGGCACCTCCGTATTCGCCACCCCCATGGTTAACGTCGACACCATCTCCGTCGAGCAGGGCCTGGCTCTCCGGTACGTCCACTTCCCTTCTTCCATCCCCCACTCCTACTAACGCCTCACCCCAGCGCCCCCAGCGAACTTCACAACGTCGCTCGCCCGCCCGCCGGTGGTGCAGCCGTCGCCGCCATCGCCCCCGTCATCATCGACATCGCCACCCGCGTCGTCGAGATGATCGACAACATCAGGGACGACGTCGAGGTAAGCTCACACTAACTCCTCCCTCACACATCATAAAAACAACCTCTAACCAGCAACCCAATTCCAGCGCCGCAAGCAATTCACCCAACGCGTCGTCTCCGACGTTCACGCCCGCTACCCCGGCTTCAACGTCGTCGTCTGCAACGTCGGCTACAAGCTCGAGGGCCCCGGATACCAGAACGTGGTCTCGACCAAGTACCGTGCGGCAGTTGGCGCCGATGTTACCTATGATGTTGTCTTGTTTAGCTCGCCCAAGACTTTTACTCGCCAGGGTGATGGTGGATTCCAGAACGTGAGTGCAAATCAATTCAGAACATTGGAGGTACTTGACTAACTTGTGGAAAACAGTGGGCCTACCTTGTTGGCAAGCAGTGCCGCACCAACGGCGGATTCATTGACTGTCCCAAGCACTAAGAGGGGAACAGTGTGTGTGAGGGAATTAATGGGTTTTGATGCATATAGATTTTATGAATATAGAGTTTTAGAGATCTGGTGCTGGATTGGAGATGCTTTTGGCTTAGGAAGAGCAGGTGCTCAGTCGGTTATTATTATTATTCCATTATAGTCCTGTATCAGCCGTTGGCTATGTAGGACTTTGGCCGACGGCCGTTCTATCTAACTAGTTACAATTTGATACTTTGTGCTGTATTGCGTGA